CAAACTCATGCTGACACAAAGGCATGCCTGCACATCGTCGGCACATTCATAATCACACTTTCATAACCGCATATTCTTTCCCCCCTTTCCCCCCCCTCTGAAACACGCTCTCTGCTTTTCTTAGGGATGTTCTCCTGCCCTGAGAGGAAATTATTTCCTAGCATCGGTGCCCTTGGAGAAAAAATTAAGTTTGCGAGGAAATATTTCACAACAACAAGAAGAAAAAAAAAATAAAGCGGCTTTGCCAGATGACTGCATTGCTTAACGTGCAGGCTTCCATTTCCACACCTCTTGATCAGTTTATAGTGAATTAGACAGAGTGGAATGGCTAAATAGCATATGGTCTGCTCTTTCTTATCTGTTCAAGGCAAAAAGCAAATCAAAAATTTGTCTAACCGTTTTCCCACAGAGTTCATTCCTTCATCCTTATTCGACGCGACAAGCGGAGCAAATCTATGTAAATATCCCCAAATTAAAGGGTACACATTTTATTGCGGCGCACATGTGTTAATATTCAGAGTTAACAGACACAGATCAAAAGCTTGGAAGCCCTCGCCGTTGCCGATTATTGCGAGTTTGCTAAGTGGTTTCCGGATGACCAGTTGCATGGCGACTGAAACAATTATTTCCTTGCAGCTTTCCCCCTACATGTCAGGTGTTATTTGACTGATCCACCCCTCGCCGGTCCAACTCTGCTTATCCGGCATCTCCGTTCCCAGAAAAAGAGGGAGTGGGTCAGGCTATTTGCGTCTGCAGCCAAACACTATCTCATCACCGGGCCTGTTTGTGTGACCGGACAGGACAGGATTTAGCACTGCATGCCTCATCCATCTTTATCACTTCAGGCCTCTCCTCGTAAAAAACAGACGGAGATAGATGAGCTCGCTGAAGTCCCGATCCCTTATTTTTTCATTCGTTCCCTCACCTTAAGAGCAATGTTACCACGTGTAGTAACCATGAGAAAATAGTTGTTAAAGAAACTTTAGAGACGTTTGTTTTATATAAGTGTGGAGAGTTTGTCTCCACCTACCAGCACTTGGAGTTAAAACATTGTCGACATTGGGCCATCTTCAACTTTTGTGATCTCGTTATCAATCAGTGACAGATGAAATATAATATTTTGACCAGATGTAAAACCAAGGCACCATTTACTGTCCATCTGCTTTAGTGACCAACATGTCCCATAATGAAATGGTAGATCAGAGCCTTTCGGTTACAATGAAGCTGACACCCCGATCTACCTTTAAGATTAGGTTTAACACCTTCATTTTGCTGATAGTTAGACCTTGTTGCTGCTGGTAGCTCGTGTTTCTGCTTCCTCCCCGCGCTGCTGCTGTGGTGTTTGGTCGTCCCTCTCGCCCAAATCTCTATAACCGCCGTGTCATGATTGTGCTGGACTGCGGTTGTTTGGTTCTGTTGTGAGTTGTGGGCAGGGCCGAGCAGGTTCCAGCGAGTCTGGGGCAGAGTCTGGAAGCGCTCTGGCAGGCACACCTGCAATCCATCTGCGCTTATTCAGTGTTGGCTTTTGTAGGACCTGTAGGAGCTCAATTCTCCCCTAAATTGACTTTCTTAGAGCTAATCAAGATCAATAGAAAAGAATAAATGTATCACATGAACTGAAAAGGCTCTAACTATCCCAAAGAGATTGAAGAGTAATGACATTGCTTGATTTCCCCCAAAAAATAAACTTAATCAAACAGCTTCACATAAAATGATGAAAAACTGAAGCAGCCTCTGGCTGAAGGCACTCTGACACATCAATAGGATTTATTCCCATCGCTTCGCGTTATGCCACACAGCCTTTGTAGCTTTATTCCGTCAACAATCATCACTAACAAGCCCCTCTGTACAGGATCAGTTTGAGTTTTTCTGGGTGACTGAGGCTAGAAGGGTCTTCGAGAAATTTGAACATGACCCTCCGGAAACAGGCAAGAAATGTCTAAAATGAAAACCAGCTAGCAACACTGGGGCTGATGAGTTTGAATCTGCACTCGCTGGCCTCGAACAGGTCAGGTCTGTCGGCCAGAGGATGCAGGTTTTGCAAACTCGGTTCACAAATGTGACCCACTGGCACTTTGGTTTGGTAACCACCTGGCTTTTTACTCCAAATGATATCATATATGTGGAATACCCGTCGTCTTGGCACGCTCCCAGCAACAATTGGCAGCTTTTTTATTTGAGCCTCGTTTGTTCTGTACAGTTTGGTTCGGCAGAGTAAGGTTTGCCGTGCCAGAGAAAATGGGAGGATGCGCTCGGTGGCAGAGGGAGTGGATCAGAGCTAACGTCCAGCAGCCGTCCAGTCTGAGGAACGCTCACTCACTGCTTTGTGCTGACCTTTTAAAAACGAGACGTCTCCGTCTGAAGAAGAGCTGTCTGGATGAAAAGAATAAATGGCTCCCATCCAGCTAGGTCTCTGTCTCTGCAGATTCTGATGCTGCCCCAACTCATGACCGAAAACATCATATCACACAACCAGAGAACTTGATGAAAACTCGGTTTCATTCTAATATATAAATATATTTTTTTTCTTTATTTTTGTTTTGTGGCTGTCCATCAAATAGATGTTGAGAATTTTTTTTTTTTCTTTTCAGAAGAAAGATATAATAAATTTGGACCTAATCTTCCTGGGATCTGGGATATCTGGAATTCTATTATGTCCCATGAAAAATATCTACACAAATATATATTAAAGTCCCCCTCTGGGTTCCTCACATTGAAGATCCGTTTAGCATAATGGGATCCTGTCAAAGACTAGTCCTCTTCCCTGCTCCTTTACCTGACAGAGGCCCCTTTTTATGAATAGTTGTGGATTTAGTTTTAATCACGCATCATATAATGTCACTGGGCCTGCACCAAAAAAATTAAATTAAATTAAATAAAAATCCCAGGATCATCTCATTAGCCAGCGCAGATGTGTGATTCATGACTGAATCCTATTTTCAATCCAGCCACGCTTCTCGACTCACTTCTCTTTTTCCAGCATTAAGCCTATTTCTGTCCATGAAGGTGACAGCTTTATTTAGATTATTTTCCTCTAGTTGTACCACCGATTTTATTCTTTGTATTCCAGTCACAAAAACTGACGCTGCCTTTCCATTAATCTTGAATTTTTCATCTGCATTTCTAATTTTCAAGGCATATCATTTTGATTTTTCTGTCCTAAAAGCCTGACGTTTCTCTTTTCTAAACTTTCCGTGTTGTTTGTACTCACTCCAGATTTGAGACAAAGCTGACTGGGAACAATCAACCTCTCTTGCCAAACTTTGGCGAATTACCTTTTTATTATCTTTTCCATTGCTTAAACACCCTGCTCTCCTTTTTCTTGTCAATCAGCCAGGTGTAACAGCTTGTTAAGGTTGGCAAACTCTCTCTTTTGATAGCACACTAATTTACATATTTGGAATTTAGGAGGAATTTCTCTTACAAATTCCAATTGGATGGAAACGTAATATTTTGCTCCTCTACTTGACCTGAGAGAAATTACAGTCAATACAATAGAGAGAAAAAAATGAATAAAATTCAAATTCAGTAAGCTGCATTGACTAGATATCTTTATCTTTCCACTCCTGAGGCTGATTAATCTTATTGTAGAAAGATTGAAAAGAAATATATGCGACGCACTAAATATGTGAATGAATGTTATTAGTCTAAATCTTGTTCCAGCAGAATGAATTAAAACACAGCAGATGTTTTTTGTCCTTTTTTTATTGTCACCCATAATCATTTTAAATCCACCCGGGAATCCTGGATTTTAAAGCAGAACTTATAGCCATAAACTGGCCCAGTGGCTTGGAAGGGTTAAAGGCTCCTCTGGCTTTTTTCAAATTTTTCATTCTTATTCTTTTGGTCTGGCACTTCTTTTAAGGTATGGACCAAGAATATGTTCCTGTTCTGGACTTCTGGGACTGAGGCTCAGAAGCCTGTCAGGAGTGGGAGCAGTGAGGTGAGAAGTGATGCTGCGGTTCACTTTTGAATCTATAATACCAACAGAGGCCAAGATGCTATTTTTCTTGACTATACAAGGATATTTTTGGATGGCGGAGCCATACACAAGGAAAAAACTAAGAGAATATTGACTGGCAAATGACACGCAACCCCCTGTTTTTTTCCCACCTCAGCAAATCAGACTTGTGGCGGGCTCAGAATAAGATCACACACAGGTTGAGTTCGGTCCATGGCAGCCGGGGCCCACTTCCAGCAGCATTTATCCAAGTTCTTGATCCAGACTACAGATGGCACTGTTGCCTCAGTAAGGCAGCCCCCAGAGAACAGCGTCTCACAACGAGGAGCAGGACTCCCAGAGACCTCCGTTCCAACTTAATAACTTGATAAACAATGACGATTTTGAGGAGCGATGTTGATAAGGTGCAGTTTACGATTGGAGGGCTGCCAAGACAAAAAGAGAAAGATAATCCCTCTGCTTCAAATCAAACTGCTTTCCCGCTGCATCTCTTCTTAAAGAACATCACTTAGTCTCAGATCATTTCCCGCGAAAATAACTCAAGACGGTTAAGGCTCGAACCCTAACTTTCGGCGGTTCTGCCAGATTGGGAAGGCAAATCAAACGCAGACACTCATCTCATCCGCTGACCGGCCAGGGGAACGAGTTCCCCACGCTCAGCTCTGAGCTCCTGACCTCTCTCAAATGAAAAAAGGCTGTCAAAAAAAAAAAAGATCGTAAACTCAACACTCGGCTTTTCCCTCGGACTGTGAGATTACGAGACAGGCCTTAATAAACTAAAGCAATGGAAGCTGATGGACTGGATCTGGTCCCGTTCAAAAAGGCTGCGTCTGATAGGATTAGCAGGTTCTCCTGGCAGATTAACTGAGTGAATTGTTTGAATATTGTATGATAAAAGTTCCTCGTTTTGGCTATGTTCTGACTGCAGATTTACCTGCTCCTGTGGACTAGAAATACTCATCTTAACCTTGCTTTAAGAAGTCATTCAAGGAAAAGAAAAAACATATTCCACTCAGAAATGAGTTCCACAAAAACCTAGTCAGATTTTGGAAAAAAAAAAAAGGGTTTATTAATTTCATTTACAGACAATATGGAAACAGAAGACAAAGTCAGTGCAGACCGGTGAGGTCTCCAATATGTTTTCTTATAAATAGCTTTCACTGTACAGTTTGTTATCTCTCCTGGTCATGTTAGCTCTGACCAAACCTAAAAGAAAGTGGGATGAGGTGTGGATGTAGTCCAGGATGGGTTAATACAACAGAGAGCTTGTTTTAATCAATTTCAAACCGTTCTAGAACAAAACTACAGGGGATGGGGGAAATAAATTCAAATAGATTTTTTTTTAAGATGCTCCAGGTCTGATGGAATCACAAGGCTGTCCGAGCTGCTGTTTCACCTCAATGGAACAGGAACAGGGATGGAGGCAAGTGTGGCCAGGTACGTCTAAGACATGGTGATCTGCATGGACTCCAGCATCTCCTCCACCGCCTTCATGGAGCACTTGTTCTCCTTGGTCCCGCGGCCGGCCAGCTGCACGTCCAGGAAGGTGAAAGGCAGCGAGGAGTTGAGAGGAGAGAGACAGAGGTCGAGAGCAGAGCAGGGGTTGGAGAGGAGAAAAATGAAAAAAAAAGATATGATCTCATTAGATCTCTCGGCCAAGTGAAGTAATGGAGACCCGGACGCACTCGAACGCGGCCTCACAGAGGCGGAGACGCTTCATCCACTCTGCAGCACGCTTCAGCGGCTGAGCAAAAACATCCTCGTCTGTTTGGAAACTGCAGGGCTGGAAGCCCAAACAAGCCGAGTCCAGTGTGTTCATTAGTTAAAATTTGCAAATGGGTCACGCAAAGTGAAATGATACCTCTCGTCAAAGGGGTTTTTGTTTTGTTTTTTTCTCCTCAGACATTACATAAATGTCATGTTTGATAATAGAGTGCTCGGTGACGGGATGCCCATATTAGTGCACTTCCACAGCCTCCAGTCAAGGAGTCCATAACACCCCGCTGTCCAGCTAGCTTCACAGGAAGTGCCGCAAATCATAACCCACAAACATGGAGAGCACTTGTGCATGCACGTACGGGCACGGCTTTCTACACAATTTAATTGCGCGGAAGGCAAGGTTTTCCCTGAAAAAAAAAGCAAAAGGGAGAGATGACTTCCTCAACTCTGGGCATAACAAAGAATCTGTAACAAAGAAATTTGACCAATTAAACAGACACGCGAAACATCCCTCCAAAGTCACAGAGAGTCAGGTTGGGACATTAATATGTCACTGACACAACACACACACACAACACACACAGCACAAATGGCCTGGTTGATGCTGGATTCTGAGCTGTAAGTTGATAACAAGCTGCATGGTCCTTCCCCTTTTTCCCCCCGCGGTGGTCACAAACAGTATTTCCTTTATTCAACCAGAAAAACGACTTTTCTTTTTCCCTTTTCTTTTTTTTTTTCATTTGACACGTTTATTCTGACCCTGCCCAGACTTCGACAAACAGGATCTGAGTGTATCCCTAACCCGGCCCATGGGCTATTTCCAAAGCAAAAGTTTTTTTGTTTTTTTCCCCCCTCTTCCTCTTTTGCCAAACTCCAGCTTTGAGAGGGCAGTTGGCTAAGGTAGAAAATTGGCCATGAAATTTCCGAGGGTGACTCATGCGTCTAAATTGTGTGCGTCTGCGAGTGGGATGGTGCAGTATAGCTGTGACGATCAGCGCCTTTAATTGCTTTGGTGCCTAATGCGCCATTACCCCGGGCCGGGCGGTCAATTATCTCTCCGGCCCGGGGTCAGACCGTCGCATTAACTCCTGCCCCGCTCCGCAACCCAGAGAGCGGAGCCACGTCTGGGCGTCTATTTAGGGCTTATGATAATAGAGTCATAAGGCGGCGGGAGACTCCGGTTCGTGACAGAGGAGCTAATCGGAGCATTTGTTTAGCCAGACGGCGCAGCGTTTGAAACGTCAACCGGCCCCACAGAGGTAATTACATTTCCTTTTTTTTTTTTTTTTTTCCACTTTAGAAAAGAGCCTTGACCTCTCACCGGTGTCTGCTCCCACTTGTGCTCACCTGTCCACCTTTTCCTAACGGTGAGGTATGACAATCACCAGGTACAGGAGTCTAATAAAAGTGGACGAGTGATGCAGCTGTCTGACTGAGGCCGACGGCACCTTCTAAGGGACCTCAGACGGCCTTTAACTGGAGCTGAGAGCACAGAAATAATGGAGGAAAGCTCACGCCTTGTCATTTAACCTGTCACAAAGCAACAAAAAAGAAAAGAAAAAATGGCCTGAAAGTGCACGAGCGTAAGCCGTTTTTTCTGTGTTACAGACAACCTCTCTACCATGAGACATCCTAAACGAAGACAAAAAGGCCATGAGCAGAGGGACGAAGGTGTGACTGACTGAGGGGTTTCATTATTGTCAACATGGGGTCAGACCATGCATGGGGCAGCTTTTTTACTGCCTCTTTAAGTTAATTTCTTTAAGCTGTTTAAAGCAGAACAACAGTTCCAATGGCCAAAGAAAAAAAAGAAGAAAAAACAAACAAACAATGGGAGCACACAGTGGAGGGGTGAAAAAATTAAATAAATCAAAGCTTCAGTCATCGGTTTCTACAGAAAATACTACACTGAACCGCTTCATGTAAGGCAAAGTTAGCTTCCAAATATCCAAGCTCACTGAATACAGATGTGTTCCCTGTCTGTGGGTAAACCTTCTCCCAAACACACGTGGCAGTAGAGAAAATATTTTAGCAAGGAAACGTGCGCTACATTACCGCCTATGCTACCGTCTAATTCCTGTAACCACTTTCACATGTAAACCCTTCATAGAGGCTCTCAAAATATCTTTTTGGGGACTTTGATTTATGATTAAGCCATAGCACTCTTAGATATTTATCTCTAGCAAAAAAAAAAAAGTTAATTATATATATGTACATACATAGGTGGGTGTAAAAATATGGGATGTGACTGGTGCATGGAGGGTCCATCCATCTGAACCTGAACCATAAGGAAGGGTTAGGGTTAGGTCCAAACTCAGCGGTTCCCGCAGAGCCTGAGCACACAGCCCCTCTGACAGCCTGTTCAACACCTGGAACCGTCACTGCGGCATTCTACATAAAATCACTGGCCAAGTCTATGTCACACACGGTTTGAAGCCAGTTTAGCCCTTTTTGACTAAAGCGGTTCCAGAGTTCGGTTCGGGGCCGGCGCGTCCAAACTAGAACCAGCCGGTTGCTTCTAGTTAAAGAAACTGGTTTGGTTTTTCCACAGCCAGAGAGCCACAACAGAGCAGGGATATTACATCACTGCGAGCTGGTCGGAGTGCGCTTCGGCCCCGCTCGCAGTGCGTTCCGAATTGCTGCTGAGGACCACAGTTTATCCTCGCAAAAACAACTACAGATTAGTGTTTGTCGGTTTTTCCCCTGAAACAGATGTCTTAATATCAACAGTCTAGATTTTATACAACGGCTTGTGTTTCTTAAAGCTCTCTGCGATGCCAGGCTGCTTTCCAAATGCTAACCGGCGTGTATTTAAATGGTACAGCAAACATAGTGAGGCTTTAATGATCGCGAGTGTACACAGCGCTTTGGAGAGCGCTCAAACACACACACACACACACACGCGGCCGGTGATTTAAAACACGAGTGTGAAAATGCGACTGATGCTCCTTCGTCATCCCTCCAGACTTTCTGCTACACTGGCTCTGGGTTTTTGAAAACATGGCGGCTGTGATGGGGCCCCCACGCCCAGATGTAAACGGCTCTCCGCTCTGTGACCCCAGCTGAGCCCGATGGATGGAATATGTGTAGAGGTAACCTGACTGCCCGACTGCGTTAATTCAAATCCAAACTATTCCGGCCCGACTAAATGAAGATTCACTTTTTTTTTTGTTTGTTCAGCGTACTGAGGACATTATTGGAGATCAGGGCACTCAGTCAGTCGCTCTGGCAGTGGCCTGCTTTGTTCTGTAAGAGATGTGATGCACGAATGAAGTTAAAGTTCTACAAACTTGAGGGATCTGGTGTATAGGAACTCATTCAAACCGGTTCACTGGATTTAAATTTAGCAAGAGACATAAGCACCAGAAGTATTGTGAGCCAATAACTCTGATTTGTGGGACTGAAAAGAACAAAGGACAAAAATTGAGAAGCTTCCTTTCGGCATATGACGGAAACGCAAAAGGAAGAAAAACTGATAGTAAAACTCCACTTGTGACTCACCTTATAGGCTCTGTTTATCTGAGCAGCAGCCCAAGCGGCATACTTTACGTTGTCCTTCTTAACCTTGGCACTGACTTTGGGGCTGGCAGCGATGTGACTCGCAGACTGGAGGAAAAACAGCAGAAGAAAAATAAAAAAAGAGGAAGAAGCAAAGGGGAGAACAGAGGAAGGAGTGTTCTTATATCAAAACTTGGTGAAACAGCAATAAAAGCGTAATTGAGATGAATGTGCAACCACTCTTACCATCCACCACTCCACCAGTCATTGTGGCAGAGTGGAGAGAAAAAACAGACCTTGGCCTGATGACACAGGGGAAATCATTTATGGGGAGGAAAAAGTGAGTGTTTTAATGCTTCATGCGTAAACTGTCACTTAACAGGGGCCTAATTTCTCAAACGCCGTCGATTTCTGGTGATGAAAGGGGCCGTGTAGGTTTCGAAAAAAAAGGCCCGACGGTGAGGGGGAGGAGAGCCGGTTGAATCACCGTCTCTGCCTGCCCCAGGACAGCTCCCATCTGAACCACAAATCCCATGTCTTTCCCATGTTCCTGCCATCGTCTCCACGCAGCAAACCCCAGAGGGCTTACCCTGCCTGCACTTCAAAGCCCTCCCCTACCAGTATGCTGAAACCTTAACTACACACCAATCAACCTGACTCTGTTTTTTTGTTTTCTTTGCAAGAAAATGGTTTGGCGTCCAAATCTTTTTAGTAAGCCTTTTTTATTTATTTCTTTATTTCTGTATTTTTAGTTCGACTCATGAAAACCTCAATTTAGATGATGTCAGCCCTGACAGGCTACCCCGGAATAACAGCGTTATGGAGGGGAATCCCGACGCATGTGCTGTCTGTAACCAACCCACAAGCCCACTGTGGTCAGCGCTACCAAGTCCACTGTCACACTGACTCAGAGGCTTTGGGATGGTGAAAGTTCTCTGCCCTTTCACTGAACTGTCTTGCACCTGTCTTAAACCGCAGCGGCTGGCTTGAGGAGCCGAGAACTCCACTCTCAAGACCAATCTGTGATGTTTCTTTTAAAATCCCCCCGGCCCCCCTCCTCCCCACTCATTACAGGCCTTGGTATCGGCGGATGACTTGTCGTAAAACTGCCGGGCTGTCTCCTGGCCAGCTTGAGAGTTACCAGAGGGGAGTGTGTCGGATGTGACCCGGCCCTGCTCCTGCATGGGGCTTCAGAGGGTCTGGGCTGCTGTGTGGTATTTGGACTACCTGAAGAATCCCAGGGCAGATCGAATTAGGGGGGGGGGGGGAACACTGGGTCTCTCTGTTTAAAACCTGTTTCCCCTCCTTACCTTTTATCCCCCACCGATGCTTTGTTTGTGTGGTTATGTCAGGCGTCCCTTACATACAACGTGCTGGCATGAGCAGACCTAACCTTGTTTAAATAAACGCTGCCAGCGGCCACCTTAGAAATGGCACTTGATTGGATCATTTGTGACAAAGTACCTGCGGAATTTGGACTTTGATTCTTTGAAAAAAAAATAAAAAAAATAGGGGGGGGTTTATTTATCTAAATAAAAAATGTTTATTGCTAACATAAAGCTATCCGGAGGAACTGAGTTTTCTGATGCTGGGGTTCAACCGTGAGCTAACCTGTCTGAGAGACAAAAACACACACTCTGTACAGTCTCAACTCCCAATGTGGCAACAATGACAAACCACCGGGTTTAAAAAAAAAAAAAAAGACAGGCTCTGCATGTTTTTTCCCTTTTCTAGTCTGTATTTTCTCCATGAAAAGCAGTACTCACCATGTACAGACCGAACAGTGCCCTCATGTTGCGGTTGTTCAGCCTCAGTGCCTGGGCAAAATATTTTCTGGACAGCTCCAAGTTTTCCAGCCCCCCTTGAGTGTACTTCACCTGTGCGAGGAGGCATTAAACACGGCCAATAAGCAGTGCTAAAGGGCAGCTCGGGCAATGACAGCATGCCATCTGGATAAGCAGTACATGACCACCCAGAACAAACGCGTCTCCTCTCATGAGCACATATTCCCACTGACGTTAAGTGTCTCTCGGCGTTTGAAAAAGAGTCATCGTTCACAGAAGAGTTAGCGTTCATGCCTCCCCAATGTTTGACGACGGACATCCAGGCGCGTACCTACCTCAGCGTACTGCTCACAGTACAAGTGATTGTGCGGATTGGTCATCATCAGCTCCTCCAGGCAAAACGCGGCCTTTCCGTAGCTGTGGAAGTGACAGGGCAAACAGTGAGCCGATTGATACAGCTGCCGGTGCGTCATCCTCCAGCCTGCTCAACTGTGAAGCACAACATCTACGGCCAATAAACCCGCAGGTATAAATCTGAGAAGGAGTTACATGTGGGTTTACGAGTCGCCGGCTTATGGGTTACATTACAGACACGTGTAAAGGTCCGACGGTGACCGTGTTTATTTACAGGCTGACAGTAAAGAGGACTTTACTGTCAGCCGCTGGCGTCCAGTGCAGCCGTTCTCCCTCCTTTTGAGGACACTGGAGATCAATCTCATGCATCTGTGTGTTTTTTCTGCCGTTAATGTGTAGTTAACTACCTTCCTGAGGTCAGCACTACAGTAAGAGCTGGCACACTGAGCCCGTGCGGGGATGAGATCACTTCTCAGCAGCGCACTGCTGAGCTGTTGACCTCACACTAATCTGCAGCAATTCCATTTCTAATACACGCTTTCCTTTCCCAAGACGTGGCCAAAATGAGGAGCTGCGATACAGCATATCATTATGCGCAAAGCAGCAAACCGTCTGTACACCTAACGGCGAGCAGACTGCACGGCTCGTGCGCGCGTAGACGCAAACTTCCTGTACTTTGTGGGGGATTTTTTTTTTTTTTTGTTACTAAAACTGCGATTTACTCCCGAGAAGTTTTTTAATTCCCGAGATCTTAAATGTTCCTAAACAAACCGCGTTTGATGCCGCTGCTGCTGCAGAGAACGAAGGGAAATGCTTTGTTACAGTTGTGGGTAAAAGGAAAATGTTGCATACCACAACATGAGGAGCTTATCTTGCCTCGGTAACTGGTTGAAAGATTAACAGCGCAGCCAGGAAAGGAAGGTGGGGACACAGAGAGAAAGAAATAAACAGTGGGAAGGAGCCGAGCAGAGGGGAGATCAGAGGGCTCCGAGGGTTGGGGGCTGCATACAATTACCACTTCCTCTCCATAAAGACTTTCAGATGTGCTCGTGCAGTGGCCGTGCCCTGCAACAGGGCCCGCTCCATCAGCCGTCGACCAGGATCCTGTACCGGAGCCAGAACTTTACCTCCTCTGCTCCTCCTTTAAGCTACCTAACCCCACAATCACCGAGCCGCTCTCTGTGACGGATCCCCGACTCGCTCGAAAACCGCACAGCTCGAGGAAGATTGTAGCCATTACGATGTGTGAGGCTGTAAGAATTGTATTTGTTTCTTTTGGAGGTAAGCAAAACCATCGGCAGCAGCTTTGCCCGCGCTGTAATGCAACATTCTTGATGGGGGGAAAAAAAGGGATCTAGGCATGGGAAAGTATATCCCGAAAAATTATTACTATTTAGTATGCGATTTTGGATGGGCTGTCGCATAATTTGGGTCAGAATATGAGCCAGCCGTGGATCCGCGCAGGGGCCCTGTGCAGCTATTTAAAGACCCGTCCCAACACCACAGGCGTAAGAGCCTCACTGCTACACTCCTGATGTGTTGATGCTCATCTCCATCAAAAGCCAGCCACACACACACACACACACGCACGCACGTCTTTGTGCACCGCTGGCTTCCATGGCGCTACGCAGCCAGTTGGAGATGGGTGATTTCTCCTGTGCGCTGCGCCATCAGCCTCTGAGGAGGGGCAGAGCACCACCATGTTCTCCTGGGAATTTCACAGCAAGTGTTTTCTCTCTCCCGCTCTCGTCGCCCCGAAAAGACTGGCGATAATGCCTGGCTACCCGGAAGAGAAGGAGGAGGGGAAACGGGGAGTTTGTAACCCAAAATAAAGAAAGGAAAGCAAAGAAACTGACACGCCTGCAGATAAGGGGCTGTGGGAGTGAATGGTGCGATATTAGAAGTTTTGGGATAAGCTGGGAGATAATCCTGTCACCCTTGGATTTCCTCTGGCTACTACAGCAGTAAAGCCTCCAGGACAAAAGCTGGAAATATCCAATAAGTAGCCTTCTTACTGTGCTACACATTCCTCCTGCCGCTGTCTTTCTACCGGAGCAACCGGTAAAGTGTGCCTCCACACACACACACACACACGTATGTCACCATATGCACACAAATAAAAAAATAAAAATAAAAAAAAACGCAAAAAAACGCAGTCAAACTACAGTTGCTGCTTCACTAACTTCTGAGGCCCCAGACGATAAAAAGCGACACGGACAATAGTGTTTTTTCATCGCGATGCTCTTGTCTGTCTCACAGTGCTGCTTGGCAACTGAGATATCAGTGGGAGGCCAGAGAGTCTCTCAGCTCTCGCACAGAAGAGAGGAGGCTTAAGGGTGAAATCCTATTAAACTACTCTTATGTGACAAACATGGACAGAGCCCCATTCAGACCCCTGGCCGATTTAGGAATCCCAACCCCTGCCATTGTGGCCATCCAACGGCCCCGAAGTGATCAAGCCATCAGTCTGATCTGTAGCCCTGTTAAAGTGGAAGATACGACCTGAGCATGTGGCCGCTTAACTGAAGCTTATGTTTTATGTGACAAGCACTTGTGCCTGAAGAAGCAATTCCGCTGAAATCAGCAGAGCAGAATTCCCAGGAGGATTTGCTTCCAGGTGCTGTTTTGAAATGACGCCTATAATATCCACACATAATCCTTCCAGTAGGAGAACGATTCCATTACTCAAGCCTCGATTTAAGTACTCTAGCTAAATAATAAAAAATAATTTTTTTAAACTTGTAAACTTAACAGATGGAAAAGCCCACCATGGAGGACAAACAGGTGTAAGAAAAAAGTTTAAAATTTTCTAAAAATCTAGCTTTTAAAGATAAATACACAACTGCATGCTATTTGCTCTAAGTGTGAAACGGCTACATTTGCAAAAAACATATTTACTCGTGTTCGTTGATGTAGAGGTCCGATAACTCGTGCCACGCTTCTTGGTCTCCAACAAACCTGTAAAATACAGAATCAAACGTCGACAAATGGAATTAGTTTTTAACAGTTTTAAACGTGGGGGGAAAAAAATCATAAAAATGGGAGGATGCTGTTGCTTATAACAAAAGCACTAATGACAGTCTGGGTGTGCCAGCGCTATTGGAAGTGGACTCTTGTATTTTAATTAAAATAAAAGCCAGAGGAGATGAAGTGGAGGGGGTGGCCGCCCCCTCTGCCCTTCTGAAAGAACACTTACTGCTCCAGATACTCATTGAGCTCCCTTATGGCTTCAGTGCTCTTCCCCTGAGCTTTCAGTATAGAGATCTTGCGTTTCCTCGCCGCCTGTAGAGAAGGGAGCAAACAGGATTAGGAACTCGTCTCTTCAAGTGTTTGTGTGCGGGGGTGAAGAGTCTGAGTGGGGCTAAGTTATGTCTTTTCACAGCGCCACAATCCCTACAAGAACGTCCGCTGAGCCGCGGAATCATTCTGTGCAGGAATGCTCAGAGCGCTGATGCGCAGCAACAGCCGTGGAGTTATCAGACAAAGGACACTGCGGGAGATAAAGTTCACTTTTTCCCCCCGAGTTTATGAGGATCATCAATGTGGGGCTTAAATGTACATCAGGCATAATTGGAGAGCGTTAGCGGCCATGTCTGGCAGGCGATGGGCACACATTATGAGTCAATGTTTGGGAGCTGGAACGAGCTCGGTGGCTGAGATAAAGTGGTGAGTCATCGCTTTACCAAGTGGGGAAAATGGCACACTCCCCCAAACCCCAACGCCTGTCCTCCGGCAGGCACAGCACGCATCCAGCGCTGCACAAGCCCGACTTACATCAGCTCAAAAATGGCTTTCCGCCTTGTTTTTGATGTTGAACTGACCTTAAGGTGGATTAGATTCTCATCAATCTGAATTAGAAAGTATTACCCCTGCTGCTCGGACTTTTCCAAAAGCTTCCCTCCCCTCTAGCCTCCCGCGCCTCCTCCTCCTTTTGATAGTGAGTGAAAACCTTAACAGGAGACTGCCGCTCCATTAGGAGTGCATTGCTCTGCCACAGCCCATTTATTTATGGACTGGCACTTGATTGAGTGGGGCTTCCTCTCCCCTTTACTCATAACCGAAGCCATTGAGGGCTGTGTATGAGTCATGTCTGAGGGGTTGTAAATTTGGGCCTCCTTTGACACTTCCATCACAAGAAATCTACTTATCCATCAAGCTGAGACAGAGACCTGCTGAGAGACTGCAGCCTCAACTGACAGCAATAATTTTAACCTCCAACAGAAAGGAAAAAGCTAAACGGGAAACAGGAGAACGCCTTCATAAAACAAGAATAGACTTTAAAAACCTTCAGATATTTCTACCGACACTTTTTTTTTTTTATTCCGAACATGCTGTAATTGACTTGCTGAGAAATGGCGGCGTTTAATATATGAGGGGAGGGGAAAGGTAACGTGGGAGAATAAGCACTGAAACATCCCGCAAAGCAATCGGGCAACTAAGAGAGGTGAGAGGTCAAAAATAATGTCCTCTGGCTGTAAAACAAAGATCACACCATTGTATTTAATGAAGTTCAGCAAGACTTTATGCCATGTAAATTTCAGGAATTTCAACACACTTTTAAAGATTAAAGAATAAGAATGGGAGTTGTTTCTTTTCCCCTCGTTTACGAGCAAAAGAAAAGGAGAGGATGGATGAAAAAAACAAAAGAAAACAATCACAATAGCAGTGTCGAATCTGGATTTCTGCACTTGTGCCACGCTTCAGATTTTTTTTCAAACGACAGCTTTGCTTTTTTCCCAAATAAAGAACCACTCAGTGTCGGAGGAACATATGGAAGCTGGTATCCCTGAAGAGTCACACAGCACTTTATTAAAACGAGCAGCAATTCAAAACCACTCTTGTTTCTCCTCCTTTCTCTAACTAATGATCCGGGGGGAAAAACTGGCATTGGGTTTGATCCTTCCGTTGTTGCGAGTTCTTTTTTCAATTAGTGCTCTGAGGCGACTTTAAGGGTGAGGACTGGCTAATTAACATCACTCCTGGCTCTGAACTGCGACCTACCGCAACCTGCCTTTGTAATAAGAAACATCAGAACAAGAGTGCCTCAACAAGCATGACAACAAATATCTGGCACAATTGCATGCTGGGAAAAGGAACCAAATTGTGAAATGATGCTTTCAATTTTAGAACATTTACTCCTTTCAAAAGATTGAATTAGTATTTGTTCAGATTTTTTTTTTGCTCAGCCTCAGAATGAGAAAGGAGAGGAGCATTTATGTACACAGACAGGAAGCTAACTCGCCTGATGCTGTTGGTATTGGAACATACTAACCTATGGAAGGGGATAAGGGATTTAGGCGTTTTTTGAAAAGCACCAGGAGCAAGAAGAAAAAAAACTTAAGCAATTTTTGTTGATTCAACAATTTTGGTTAATGGGTACCACATCTATTCCACAGCCTGTAATTACAAAAGCTCACTTTCCAATCTCTGCCTCGCATTCTGGGATGCCTCGCAAGTCTTCCCTGTGGTCGCCAATTTTCCACCATTTCTCAGGACCATCTTCAGCCCGAGTCTCGTGGAGATCGTGTGAGGAGGAAAAGGACTCTCCCCACCCCGAGACAGGTGACCTAAATGACGTCACCGTGTCTTCTAACCACCCTGCATCAGTACTCCTTCAGAGCATGAGAATTGTGGGGGGAAAAAAACAGAGTCACGGCTGACATCCCAGGAACTGGGAGCGTGGTAGCGTGTTTTGTGTTCCATTCCCAGTCCCGGTGTTTGACTGACAGTTAAAGCTCACGGGGGTAGCAGTCTGAGACCAGGAAGCAGGCCGTTCCCTTTCCGAGGGTGTCCCCGCAGTCTTCATTAGGTGTGTGCCACACAGGGGAGGCGTCCTGAGAGCTGCTGAAATTACTGCTCCCACTGTCAAAACACCAGGACGATAACTTCTTTTTTTTCTTTTAAATGTGACTTCCAGAAATCTAACCCCACATATCCAACAGGTACTGGTCCCTGAAAACATCTATCTGCTTTCAACGTTAACGTGCTGGATTGGCTTTCAGAAGCCCATTTTTCTGTCATCGCAGGAGCAAAACGCAGGATCTAAACGTTTCGCTAAATTCTCCTCTGTTGCATTTTTTTATTTTTTTTTATCAGCTGACAAGACTAGGAACGCAAGAAGTGCAAAGTGTGTCTCACCCAGTAAAAAGAAATAGAACAAAACTAAACCAATCCATATGTCAGTACAGCACAGGAAACTTCAACAAAATAATTTTTTGGGGGAGAAGGGGAGTGAGGCGATGTAGCCAGAGTAAATAAAGCTGACTCTGGCTACAAGTTTTTTCTGAAAACCCTTCAAAATATGTCTCTTGCATGGCTACATGTTCATATGGAAACATTTCCCAACAGCGAAACATTGTATTTGGGGGGAAACACTATGCAAGCGGATCATGTCAAAGTAATAAATAATTTGAAACAGCAGCTTCTGAGACGTCGGGCTTCCTTCAGCCTTTTCTGTGTAACCTTCTCAGCGTCGAAAAGATTCCGTACCTGAGATCGCAGGATGACAAAATAGAAGGAGGGACGGGAGCTTAGGCCGTCTGAAAGCCCCAATAAATAACCGCCTTCAAAGCCCGGGCCTTTATTTATGTTTGACTTCTCCTAAACATATCTAACACCGACTACCGCCATGAATCAAGCTCCCCACTGCCACCCAGTCCCCCTCCCCGCCAACAGTCTTCAGTTGAGTGGGTGATAGGTTGATCAGCACTGTGGCTGAGGCCAGAAAGGCCAACGGGAGTTTAACTTTGCAAACCCCTACCGCGAACACCAAAGCGCCTTGACAGATTTAATGCCCTCCAAAAAAAAAAACCCCGAGACCACAATGCAAGACGCTAAGCTGGGGGGGCTTTTCTCCTCTTACCGTGTTGGTGGGGTCATCCTGGAGAATGGCATCATAATGCTTGCTGGCATCGTCGTATCTTCAGAAAGAAAAGAAGGAAAACACTTTGTTTCTTTTCTTTTAATGTATAAAAAAAAAACATGAGGTAGTGGGAACAATTTCTAGGTTATCACATTTGTGTACATCACGTGAAAAGTTTGTGTTTAACTAGAGACTGTACTGACATCAGTGTTCTAAAACAAATAGATGCATTCCCTTTCCATTAATGGTTTAGCTTTCTAGTATATCCCAATGACTCACCAAACAAACAGAAACCCACTAAAACACTTAAAAGATTCCATTGGCCTCCAATTGTAGAAAAAAACTCTATTCATAGTCTTTTTGACCATCCTTTAGAAAAACTAGCTTGCTACTTTTGCATCTGCTGAGATCAGCAGTTTTTCCAGTTTAAATCAAATCTTTGCTCAGAGCCCACTACAATGATCTCACCTCTAAACACTGATTCCGTTCAGAGGGGAAACGTACGAGCTGTAAACATCAAATTGTAGAGTAAAAAAATCTGGAAACAGGAGGTACTTCAATTATCATGTCAAATCGAGAGATGAGTTATGAATTTTTTTTTCTCTATACAGGACGATCGGTAATGTTGATCTTTTCCTTTTTTTTTAGTCAGAGCAGCTCTGAGATCAGAAACCTTCCCGCCCACAGTCTGCTACAGACAGGAGCAACTCTGGTTCCCATTAGCAATGAGCAGCCCCATTTCCAGCACTGATGCTTCCCTCACATTCACTTTATTACTCAGCCACACTTTGGGAGATTTCAGATGGCACCAGGCAACCACTCACAAGCCACTTTGATTTGCTTTATTTATTCAAGAACCAAGCACGTGTGTTTGTGTGTGCAGAGGGGGTAAGGCCCTGCTGTTTGAAGTCATGTCATTCAAGAGGAGTTCTGTTTGCTGCCAATTAGACCTCGGCGTGCCATTTATTTAATCTGACAGCGCGGCAGCAATCACTCTCAATTATCACATAAACTCTGACATAATGGATAAGCCAGCAAAGGTGGGTTAATAAACAGTTTGAATTGCCCTTACTTCAGCACAGTTCGGCTTAAAATATCTGCTGTTTATCTTTCTCCCACTAGTAGCTCTATATTCTGATTGTGGTGGCATGTCAATATTTAAAGGGCCGAGACGTACTCATGGCACAGAAACCAAAACAAGACGGTAAAGAATAAAAATAGGCATAGGGAGCCGAAAGGGCAACAGAATACAGCAACAAAACAAGTAAAGAATAGAGGAGCAGAAACCACTCCAGGACCCTCAGAATAACAGTGGGATCCGACCACTTCCTTCCCGGGAATCCCTGACTCAAGCTAAAGGGCCACGGGACTACCCGGCAAACGAATCCCCGCTCTCTATGGTCACCTCTTCCCCAAAAAACAAATGCCAGGAGATCCAACATAAACACACCATATCCCACACACACACTGTACTTAAAACACGCCTGCCCCTGCTGAGCCCCCTTCAGATTTTTTTTTTTTGGTTCCCTCCTCTCTTTTTGGAGCGTTTAGTACCCCGTGCTTACCTTTCCAAAGCTTCCAGCCTCATGCCCGTTAATCGCTTCACTCTGTGGCTATCTGGAAACTGCTTCCTCAGTTCCTGTAGACAGGTCTGCAAGGATGTGGTAGAGGAGACCAATTATAGAAGGTGGTGTTTCACTCGATGGGGGATTTTTGTTTTCATACAGACAGCTGAGATTTTCCCAATAAAAACTGATCATTTTTTGGGGGGAAAAAAACATATTTGCTGAATGCTCCAGCTAAACAAACACAATACGACAGACGTTCACGAGGCCCACTTCAAGTGTCTTACGAGAACAACACGCAGCTCTTCTGTTACTCATTTGGCCGACCACACTTGTTACTATAAAAGGGAGTTGGAGGATTTTCACTGCCACTTTTTTCTGTCTTCTACACAAAGCTGGAATTTGTAAGATCACATCGTAATGAAAGAGGAAAGGATTGGTTACAGACACTCAGCATGTCTCCCAACAACAGAAAGGTCGGTGTAGTAAGGGTAATTTTTTGCTGTCCTTTACCTCAATTATGGTCTTTTTTTTGTATTGTTTTCTTTTAATGTCTTTTTAACATCTCTAAGCAGCATTTAAGGGACAGCCGGCAGGAGACCAATCCTAGTGAAGTAGTTCTCCCTCATCTGTATTTGATGAGTAATTTCTTTTGCCACGGGGAAGCCGTCACGTTATTCATACTGACAGGAGATTAGCCCAGCCTTTATTTTGCTTCTAAGCAATGCATGGTTTTTGAATGAACATTTTTAATCATAAACTCATAAAAAGCACATGAAGCCTTGCAATGGCAAATTAATTCGAAGGGATAAAAAAAAAAAAAAGCCTTCAACTCTAAGCTCAGCAAACACTTGAAGCATGCTTTCTAAACTCATTTCTAACACCCTTTGATTCCAGCTCTCAGTAAACTGTTTTTCCAAAGTACAGACGGAGAAATAATACTTGGCCAAATAAAAATTGAATTTTCACATTTGGCAGGTCGGGGTGCCGCAAAAAGGACTGGCTGAGACAGAATGACCGATTACTTCTGAAGCTCTAGGGTGTGTGAGGAAGTGTGGCAAAAACCTACCAGCGCCAAGTCGTCCCGACTGCAGTCCAGTGCTGCGATCATCACCTGCTCATAAATAATCCAAACTGGGAAGAAGAGACACAGACAAAGAAGACAGTGTTAATGCCATTACTTTTCCACTGTCTGGTCTAACATGGTGCAACATGCACAGACATATTAATTTACTCGCATGGTGATTGTCTCCTATGAATGCCGTGGTAATAAAATTGGGGATTGGACTGGAAATGCTCTCAGTAATCATGAGCTGACACTTAGTCTTGACGGAAAGACTTAGAATCAAAAGGTCTTCTGTATGCAGCCGCTTGACAAAAGAAACAGCAAAAATATGTGAATGAGAGCTTTATTGGGAATTTGGCTGCATTAATGTAAGCTTAAGCTTTCCTGCTTGGGAAAATAATGGACACCATCCCTTGCAGTTTTTTTTCAGGGTGTATTTTTACCTGCTCCTTCTTCTTTGGGAAGATCTGTTTGACTCCATGTGGCTGTATATGTGCTGGAAAAGGTCAATTCCAACCACATTTTCTGAGTGTGTCAGTCTGGTTTTCAGCTAGTTCGATTTTGCATAATTGGTTCAGACCAAGATGTTTACACACATTTCAAAAGTTCAGGTTTGGCTGGACCAACGCAATAAAAAGTTGTTTTTCACGGAACAGAAAGCCTTCACCTAGAGGTCCTTTCCAAACTGCTTAAAAAAAGAAGGTGACTACCTCTCTGAATAGAAGCACAGATTTTATAGCTGACAACAGCAAACCAAAAATGGTATGAAATTGCCCAGAAAAAAATAAAATAAAATCTTCAAATCACAGTGACCAACTGATAATCAAACAAAATATGACAATCATGAGCAGCTTTACCTTTTATCTCATAATTCTTTGTTCTATTTTTTAGAAATCCTATAAAAAAGGATCCCTTGATTATTCACAACATTGAACTAATATCAAGCAGATGACAGCTCTGTAATGTTTTTAGCCCTCCATATCAGGCCTGTTGAGCACCATCAGAGCAAACACGACCAGTCCTTTGATGTTCAGCTCTGTGGTTAGCAAGAACACAGTGAACTGTTTATTCTTTCGGTCAACTGTGATATTATAACCGACTAAAGAGTCTGGCTACAGTAGTCGATTAATCGATTCAGTTCAACGTGTTAAACAGTCAGCTCTGACAACCCAGCTGAATATGCTCAGCCAAGCGAATACCTCCTGTTGATTGGACAGAAAAATAAAAATCAGTCAACCCAAAAGCTGCAGATTACTCCAAAACACACAAATGTTCTGAGAGTTCCTTGGCTTTAATAGCTCCAGCTCTTGCTCTCATAATTGCCATCTCATTTCACAGCCAATTTGAAAGCTAGTTTCAATAAAAGCATGCCACGTTAAAGTGTTTATGCGCCTGCTAAAAGGGCTGTATGAATCATTACGACTTGGAGGGGGGGCGGGGGTTTATGGTGTAATGCAGCAAAAGCGTAGTGCTACAAAAACCATGACCATACCTATTGAACATTTGACATATTTCAAGTTAAATACGAGTTCGGTTTTCCAACCAATAAGCGATTGGGAAAATATATTTAGTTATACATATATATCTTCTCTTACTTTATCAGTTATGTTGAATGGATCCGCTTTACAATTCTCGAACTAGCATTGTTACGGCTAATATTCCAGACTGCTTCCCAAATGAAATTGCAAAATCCCCTGAAAACTCCAGCGTGTGACCATCTTTTTTTATCCCTTTTTTCCTCTCCTGCCTAATTTTACCATGCAGGCTTAATAATTCTCAGTTATAACCCCAACCCAAAGTAGCCTCAGTGTGTATGTGTGTGTGTGTGTGTGTGTGTGTGTGTGTGTAGGATTTGATTTATACTGTTTTAACAAACTTACTATCATCGCCCAGTTTAGACGAATGATCGCAGATGAGCTCTTCACCAACATCCACTATTTGTTCACTATTTCTGCTGTTGTCTTCTCTCCATTTGCGTAGCTTGTCTCGCATCTCTGAGGACATAGACATTAAATCACAACGACTTACATCTTCGGACACACATAACACTTAGACCCTGGGGTCCATGGCTGTGTGGTGTGCAACACAGTACGCCAGAGTTCATTAACATTTCTGATGATCAAAGTGGAGAGTTAAAAACTGCTGAAAACGATTCGGACACAAATATGGAGGTATCCAGATATGCTATCGATGGTTAAGCACTTTACACGCAAACACGAGTAGTAAACACAAGTGTCGTTGGGGGATTTCGTATCGATATCAATCTTTCAGGTTTTCACAGGACCGTAGCAATAGCAATGGTCGTTTACCGTACTCATCACTGACCACAAAGCATGCTAACGGGCGCTGTGTATCTTTCTCAGTCAGGAAGAAAAAGGTAATTGACAATGTACAGGCTGCTTTTTCACACGTCATCACCAGCTGGTTTGACCTCGCGCGTAGTAACGCTGGTATTAGCCAGCTATATAGCTAAAAACCCAAACTGACAGATTAGCATACAGCACAAACTAGCATTAGCTAAGCAGCCCAGACGCGGACTCCAGCTTTAACAACGGAGACAGTAAGGACTCTTTCCACGCGTTCTCCGTGCACGAGAAAATCCCGAATGCTTAAAAAGAACACGAAAACATCCTCCATGACACACGGGGAGACTACATTTAAGGTCCTACCTTCCCAACCCACGTCGTACATTTCTGACACGGACGCCATCTTTTTTTCGCATGACAACATACGCAGTGCCTACGTCACAGACATGAGTCGTGGATGTTCAGGACGATATTAATATTAAGAGCAATAAAGAGTGTTAATCTTTGTCATCTTTGTGTTATTGTGTTTGACTAAACTTGTTTAAACGGGTGAATATATCATATTATCTTTTACTGGACATTTTAGACACGATCTGCGTCCCACATTGACTGTTCTTGCCCTGGTCCTGGTTTAAGAAAAAAAGCTTTTGTTATTCAATTGTAAGTCACATGGCATCAAGCAGGCTGTTGTACTTTTTGTGCTCCACTTCCTTTCTTTTAATACGAGTCTCAATCAGAGTAATCAATTGCGCGGTCTGCAGAACCGAAAAAATATTAAACCAGCGTTTCGAACACATCTTCCATTTTATCCTCACTTTCCTCAGGACTCTCTGGGAATCTCATCTCACCCCTTTCAATGCTTGCTTACACTCTTCTCCCTTACCACATTACGCACTTGTTGATGTGGACTCTGCACGAACTTGCTTACAGGGACATTTCAGAGATGTAATGTCATATCCAGTGCACACTGCACATATCCTACTGTTACATACTTTGTTGTTGTTCTGCTGTGAAAGTGCAACAAAGAGAATTTCTGAGATACACTGATATGCTAAAACGGACTGGCATCATCAATAATAGGCAAGTGCAGGTTAAAAATTAGAATGATGAAATGTCATCATCTCTCTGAGGGATACAAATGATAACACTGTGCTCAGTTTAAGTTACACTCAGGTCTGGCGATCTGTTCACTTGTAATTTTCAAGTCTGCACATGGCAGTCAGTTGATATGCGGTTAGTTTTTGCTGGAACACAAAATACCAAAGCAACCACATTAAAACAATCACACACTGTTCTCTGGGGTAGAGGGCTTCCATTGGCTGCCAAGGTGCCACTGAGGGCCAGGGCCCTAATAATGACCTGCCATAAACACCGTGCAGCCAGTGTGACTCCTGGGATTTCAGGACAAGAGTGTGAAAGCACTCTATGAGCCCTCTGTCCATAACTTTGAAGATACAGCTGGATGTTGCTGCCCTGTGACATAAGGCGCCTGTTTGACTTGGAGCAGCTCTTTTGAACACAAATGTCACAATATGGCAGATCAATTGCACCCATTTGAAAACCCAAATTGTACTACTTGACTCGTGCTTACGTAGGTTTCCATGCTCTGGACGCCCCACATATGGCACACAGGACAAGCATATATATATTTTCCTTTTCAGTCTCCACGCATAAAGGAAACAAAATAGAAATATTCCAGCAGAAACACTTCAAGGTAATTATATTTTGATTTCTGACAGAAGCAATCAGACTTGGCAATCTCTAAAATGAACAGCTACAGACCAAAAATTGAGGTAACGCTGAGGTGCTCACTGCGGTTTCGAAATATTTCTTTCTCCATCTAGATTTCTGTTTCACTGGTGTTGTACGGTGAGTTGCGGAAAATGAAGACAGATGTAATTAGCAATGATGTTTGGACTCAGTCTCTTGGAATCGCCAGCGGTGTGTTTACTTTGAAATCTGATTAGGTCTCCTGTCTGCGCAAGTTGCTTTCACCTCACCGCGAATAACTCTGTACAGATGACTTCAGCACGCTTTGCTTCTGATGGACTCCCCTTTGCTGCACCTTTGACCTCAGCCGTATCCTGACAGAGAGGCCCTGAGCGACAAATTACAGGCACATCACTATGACGCTTTGTCTCTTTCTTATTCTTCACTCTTGTGGTTTTGGAGCCAAGAACATTCAGAGCCATATCAGAGGAGCACCCCCCTGGAAATTGACGGTACTTGCACAGCTCAATGTTGAAGATGTATTGGTCCCCTGACACCTTGTACAGTACCCCGATTGCCTTTTGCAGATTGGAATATTACCAAATTTGTTACCTTATATTTTGCTTGATTGAGTTTATTGGCCAATCAGCACTCCTCATTAACTCTGAGCAATGGTGAAGCATTCAAATGCTGGAGATGGCCTCCGGTCATGTGCTGCATTCATAACAAGAGATCTCCACAAGCTCTTGATGCTAAAATAAATAGATTTCCCCATGAACAGAATGATCTACTTCTCCTGGAATGTATAATAAAAAAGACCAAAAAAAAAAGAGTCATATCAGAAGAATTTACATTTGAGCCTACGCTTACATAACCATCACACTGTGTTATTAAAGAAAGGGTTTGATTTCTAAGAGAGTATTTGGCAGTGACACCACAATTTTGACAAGTCGTATTCAAGTATTGGGCATTTTTTCTTAATTCTATCCAAGAATCACATCGTTTCTGCCCTAAGTTGTGGCATCTGGTAAAGTTCATTCCCTCCAGCAGCACTTTTTGCATCTTGAAATATAATTTACCGGTACCTCGATAACTCTTTTTGGAGTATTGCTTGAGGGGAGTGCTATTGTCTTACTTACTGTTCAATATTACAACATAGGCCTAATTAAAAGACCTGCACCTACATACAAAGATCCACTGCACTCCACTTTGAAAATTAAAAGCATTCACTAAATCTTGGCGCGGAAAAGTAACCCTACAGAGTGTGTTCTGGAGTCATCGTGTTTCTCTCATTCGGAGATTGCCAAATGTTCTTTAATGCTGTGATTTCCGTTTAAATTCCAAAAGAAAACTCACACTGCTAACACAAGGAGACAATGTCGGAATGGAGCTTTGGAGAATGATCACAGGGGGCAAAAATTGATCAGCTTCCCTGCGTGCCCTCTGCGATAAAGCTGATGTGTGCGAGCACAAGTCGCCCGTTGTTTGGGTGTGGACATGTGTTAAGCACATGCTCTGCCCGCTGTGTTCAAAAAGAATTTGCATTGTTTTCAGGCCTACAGAGGCAGTCGATAACCTCCAGCCCGCTGCCACTGAGTGCGACAGTGCTTAAGTCAGCACTGGGCTCCGCATCGGGCCTGTGGGCTGCTGATTTATAACCTTGCATACGCTCAGAGTGAGGTGATGCATATCTAAAAAGTTTACAGAAGAATCATTGAAATTCATATGAGATGCTGGAATTTAGACCCGGGAGCAGGGATGCCGGGGCTCTGCAACGTTCTGTGCCCAGTCATTTGTCTTCAGACCCTATTGATTTATATTTTGACAGATATTAGTCCGGGGCCAGTGGTGTGTGTCTTTGGCAGTGTCATCTCCTCTCCCTCTCTTGGATTCATTTGTTGACCAAGAAAGCTTTCAGGGAATGGGTGAGCTGAGGTTTTTCATGGAATATTTGGCCCATCACTTCAGCGCCCTTTGAGTTTATCCCATTAAGGCCGAGGAGTATTTTCTGCGAGACAAACATGGAGAATGATGGATAACGGTTGTGCATGCAGAAATGCATTGCTGGGCCCGACGGCACCCCAGCATTGAACCTGGATGTCATGTGTGGTCCAAGCCCTCACTATTGGCAACTGCATCATCCTACAAAAACAAGCCACATGCTTTGATTTACACAGTTAGAAATGGTGGATGACTGTTTATATTTACTCCACTTTTGTTGGCTCCGCTTAACATTTTAAAAAGCCTTTTGCTTAAACCTCTTTATAACCCCCCCCCCCCCTCCCCCACAGCTTCTTGGAGCTTATGTTCTGCTCGTGACGGATGACAATAAGGGACCTCTGCTGGATATCCGGCATATGCCGAAAAAGGTATTCTTAAGTTGTAATGAACTGATGCTTTGATGGCATTGTGATATCAGCTTTTGACAAGAATGGTAAACTTCATGCTTCATGCCTCAAGCTTTGCTCAGTCACACAAAATTACACAATGATGTTTGTTTCCCTTTGGAAACAAATGTCAGGTGGATGATGTATTCTATATCTTTTTATGCCCTGGATTTATATCAGTTAAATACAGCCTTTATTCACAGGGTGCTGCACCATCTGAAAATAATTCATTTTTGATGGTTTGATCATTCTTTGTTTCTATTTTCAATCTAAGATACAGAGAGATTGTATGTCAAAATGCTCCCTATTTACATCTGGCTTTATTTTAAACGTAGATGTCAAATGAATGTTTTTAATCTGATATCTAACTTGGGAATTCTGGCAATGTAATGCTTTGCCCTAAATTGATCATTATGTATCGTGGACAGGTCTGTTCTATCATTACATTTTCCCAAAGGTTCTATATTACATCAAAAATTGTATTTGTTATGCTTAGCAAGTTGGACGGTTTAAAAAAAAACTTTTGGTAAACAATCACTAGTTCACGGTCATGGATTTCACATCAATGTCCCTGAGAAAATCCATGGCTGAAGGATCAAAGCAATTAGATAAACACTTTAACAGGAAATCTTTTTTTTTTACATGTCCTATGTGAGCTTTTGAAAACTTTTCTCTCTGGATTGCACAAGTTGGTTTGGCATATTTTGGCAGAGTCCAGGTCTTATCAACAAAATAACATTAGCTTGGCTTTTTTAGAGAAAACTGAGACAAAATCAGAAAAGAAACATGGTGTTCAACCCACATTACACACTGAAAAACAATATAATATGCATCTTTAAGTATCATAGAAATTTTACAGTGAAATGGTTTGGAGGGAATCTGAAGGTTTACTTCCTTGTGAAAATGACCAGCATCATGCAGAAAGGATTCTGTGTACAAAGGCAAGCTCCTCTGGGGGAAATACTAATATCAGTGAATTGTAGGCAATTTCTATTGATCAGTCCATTCAGTTGCTAAACTTTATGAAAATCGCTACATCTTTTCTATATTCCAATTTCAAATGGCATTACTCTCCCTTCTGAACCCTATAAAGCCTTTGCAAGGAAACAAATGGATTAAAAAGCTTTTTTTATCCGAGTTTGTTTGTAAAAAACAAAAAGGTATGATTCGTGTGTTTTTCCAAAAGTGACTTAATAAATATTTTCTGCACATTGTTACCACAACAAAACTGCAAAAAGGGGAAATATTCTTTAAAACAGGCTGATTAAAAAAATACAACTTTAAGGGCATAATGATGCAAATGTCTCGGAAATCTACGCATCAAATATAATACATATGGCATTAAAGGGTTAAAGAAGTTTTGATAAACTTGTACTTTTGGAATGTGTTCATGTTGTTGATGAACCACTTGGCATCTTTTGGGGGCTTAGATAAATCCTAAAAATGTACATATAGAAGTTTATGTATTTAGCAGATGCTTTTATCCAAAGAGCATTACAAGACAAAACATTACAATTGAGGTAGGCTTAAGGTATCTATCATTTCAAAATATATAATTTATTCCTATTTATTTGGTTACAGCTACAAAAAAAGAAAAAGATCAAAGATAATACAGCTTGATAAGCATTGGATAGCACTCTTTCACCAATAAACTGATTCCCAAAGAGCCAATCACCAAAAGCCTGGCGCATGTCTGCATGGTGTGCAGTGTGTCTTGAAATAATAAGTAAACTGGATACGGCAGAAAGTCAGGAGAAAGCATCTTCAAAAATAAACAATATTTGAAAATGATATCCTGAAGAAATATAAGTAAGTCGTCTGCCACGTGACCTGAGAGATGAGATCAGACGTTTATTTTATCCCTTGTTTTCTCACTGAGGCCTCGTCAGAAACGCTGTCCATGGAAAGAAGCCTCACGAGAAAGGAGAGAAGGGAGAAAAGGCTGAGAAAGTGGACTGATCTGGTTGTAAGACTCAACCGATGCTCAAGCACTGATGGTAAGAATATGTCAAGGGAACGACATGAGTGTCTTCATATTTCTGCACATGTATTAGAATAATCGTATTGAATTATTTCTTATTTCACCAGAAATGGCTGAACGTCAATACCCAGTGGGAAGTATAAAGAAATATGCTTCGGCAAAATGCTACACCAACTTAATTTAAATGGGATATTATAACTTACAGTCAGCAAAACTGGCTGCAGTGTTTAATTCTTTAAATTAAATCAATGAATGATCTAATAGACACAATGACAAATGACACTTGCCAAGTAGACCAACCGATTGCAGTGACACAAAGGAGGTTTCAGAAGGGCAAAAGCCGTATTTTTCCCTTTGCATTTAAAAGGCGGACCGCCGCTGAGCCGAGACGGCTGTGTCAGAAGCACCCAGTAAAACAGCAACAGACCACGGTGAGTGGTGTCTCTTTATGACTCACTTCAACCTGCCCTCGGCCAGGAGTAAGCAGTTAGGCTGGAAGAGCAAGAGGCCAGCACTAACAAGGGAGGAATTGTTTTAGGACACAAGACAGCACAGTGCGGCTGTCAAGAAAACAAGGTGGCAGTGAGCCTATTTGAGACGGGCCATTTAGTAGCTGATATTGGCTGTCATCAACAAGGTATGCTCAACACATGGGCGCCTTTATGTGGCAGCTCCTGAATCGAGGGGAGGACAAAGAAGGATGTTCCAGATGCATTGCCGTCTTTAAGAGAAGTCACATGATTGGAAATGACCTGGATATTTTCATTCAAATTTAGGAGTGGGGCCTCTTTGTGTCTATATTTTCCCTCAAATGGTTTCAGGCTCATAAAGAAGTCACACACTGGCTTTTAAGAGAAATATCGGTGGTGTCTGGAGGAAAGCCTATGTTTTTACTCTCAACAAAATGTTCACTTGGATGTCTCTTTATAAATGAAATATTTCTCTCTCATAAAGACCGCAAGGAAATTACGCAAATCCTGAAAGGTTTACAAGTTTGGGAAAAAAAAACAGTGTGGTACAGAACAAAAAGCATGCATACTCCCATGAGGAGATACACTTTTAGACAGGGTAAAAAATAAAGTCTCCATCAATAGATCAATACATAGATCTATGCATAGATCTATGTATGTATGTATAGATAGATAGATAGATAGATAGATAGATAGATAGATAGATAGATAGATAGATAGATAGATAGATAGATAGATAGATAGATAGATATTTCTAGATAAATCTAACACTGAATCATGACGCAGAGTATGAATTATATAGTATAGTAATTATATAGTAGTGGCACACTGAATATGGGACTATTTTTTCGTTTTAAAGGATGCTGAGAACGTCGCTGATTGGCCAGCCTCTTTGTATACTGACGCATCATACATCCACTTCCCTTTTCCCGGAGCAAAGATGGCGGAGTACGACCTCACCACTAAAATAGCCCACTTTTTAGATCGTCACCTCGTTTTCCCCCTCCTGGAGTTCCTGTCTGTGAAAGAGGTACGAAGCATTTTAACACATAAACACTTCTTTATGTTCTGGTGTTGTTTAAAACGAATAACAGGGGGTTTCGAACGGTCGTACGAACTGAGGCACGCTAAAGAGTTGGCCACATTGTTAGCTTAAGTGTAAAACAACGTACGCCGGAAACAGGGCAGCGGAATTCAAAATAAAAGTGACCAGACTCGTCTGAAAGCAGAGAAAGGTTGAGACAAAAAAGAATTATAACTAGCTGATATGAAGTGAATTATTCTCTTTACTATACTCCTAAAATACTTATTTATTCTTCAGTATTAGAGACTTAAAACTGTGGTTTGGCTTTACGCTTGAAAATATACCATCTACACTTCTGGCCAAATTAGCTAAACCAATGCTAAGGCTAGGTTTTACTGGTTACTCCAATGGTGCCCGTTTCCTGAACTCGGTGTTGCCGGTTGTTGACAAGCATGCGTCTTTGCTAACATACAGATTAGCATTCAACCAAACGGCGATGTTATTACCAATGGAAAAACATTTTTCATGCGTTAAACCTTTCATTGTTATACCTGAAGCTGAACCATATTTTGTGGTCAAATAGCATCCGTATGCTTCGCCTCACATCTGGTTTAACAATTCACTTCATGAGAGGACTTTAGCCCGCACAGCTAACACGTTTCTTGTGAATTAAAAAAAGTCAGTGTAAACGGACAACCATCGCACTTGTATAATTTTTCAAAACATACAAAATACAACCTATGTCCCTTATGTTAAATCTAGTCTTATTTCCATTCAAATGTACAGTCTTGAACTCGCCACATGGTACCCGTATTATCTGTATCAAACTGTTACGATATATGTGTTAAAATCTTTTAGGTTTTCCTTTATCCAATTATTATGTTTAGCCACCAAATCCCACATAACATGTTTTCTTGATTCCTGTAACAAATCGTGAAAAATGTGTGGAACTCCAACAATACCTCAGACTCATGATCCAAATAGAAACCTTAACTACTGTAACCTTTCTTAACTTTTCCTGTGCTCAAGATCTACAATGAAGAGGAACTACTTCATGGAAAACTGGACCTCCTCAGTGACACAAATATGGTGGACTTCGCCATGGATGTGTACAGAAGCCTTTTTTCTGACAAGGAAATTCCCCAGAGTGAGTGGTCTTGATTCCTTTCAGATACACTATGCTCAACCCCTTCTTTCCAAATATTTAGCAGTTAAGCTGATATAGCCAAATACATACCATGAATGGCCACTTCTACACGCAGCTCACTGCTTTCAGAATCGATTTTTCAGTAAACGTATTTTACAGTGTTTTCAGTACAGACGTCCAGACTGTGTATGTGCGTGTTTATGATGTTGCTCCGACTTATATTGCTCTTTATCCTTCCTGTGGCAGCTCTCAGGGAGAAGAGGACTGAGGTTGTGGCCCAGCTTAAGCAGCTGCAGTCAGAGACGGAGCCCATTGTGAAGATGTTCGAGGACCCAGAGACAACAAGGCAGATGCAGTCCACCAGGTAAAGCCTGTTATTTTGAATACAAAGTGAAGGTTTTTATTTCTTTTCTCTTTTTTTGCCTGCATTGTATTAAATCGAATGCCTGGAATTCTGCATTGCAGAATGGAACGACATCTTAAATGAAAAATGACGAGACCTCTTACTGCTGTCGTAAAAATAAATCATTTTGGCTATGCGCTCAGTTAATAAAAATGGTTTTAATAAGATGTATCAAATCCAAAGATAAGTTAATTTGTTTGTTTCAACCTCGGATTAGCAGGCGAGATCTAGAAGCCTGACTAGGCAACATTGATTCAGCTTATGCTTACTTTGCTACTTTTTGTCAGTGGAACACAGAAAAAAAAACATTCTTTTGGATTAGGATTCATTTGTCAGTCTATCACATTTTTTCTTTTTTTCGTACCGCTGGATTTGTAAAACAAAAGAGGACTCATCTGGCGTTGATGAAGAGGTCTTCATCGCGCCAAAAGACATTATGCAGTTTTATTCTGCCATTATTGCCTAAAGTATGCTTGATGCGCTGGCCTGTTTGCACCATTATCTCTAAATTGCAGTTGCATCCAGTTTTGGAAATGAGAAATGGGCTGATATTTGAACCCTGCTGGCTTGTCCATCAGAATTAATTGATCAATATGTTATCCTCACCACACAGAAAGAATTTTACTCCGTCATAAAATTTAGTTCAAGTATTATTGTAAATTTGAAACGATTCCTTCTAATCAGCTCACGAGGATCATTTTTAACCATCACGTTCATTCTGTTTGTTTTGACTTGTTCAAGTCTGAATCTGAACTACATATTAGAGCGCGACCAGAGCTAAAGTTATTCCGATCTTGTATTTATTGCCAAGACTCTCCAAAGAGATACATGTGCAGTTAATTTTTTCAGAATCTGTGTTCCTGTAATACACAGCAGGGTGAAATTCCACTCTTCGTGGAAAGCAATGCCGAGCTTACAGAAACCACCCGTCTTTAGCCTCCAAGCAGAGGCGACCTGACTTTAAGCAGAGAAGAATTCTGCCTCAGTGAAATTCGTTTAACACACAACGCAGACGTGCCAGAGAACGCACACTCGCTCATTCCCTTTTTATAAAACTGAATTTAACCTAGAAACACGCATAGTTTCAATGTGGCGTCCACTTAAATAGATTTTTGGTCAAAGGCAAAGTAGTAAAATGCACTTGGGATACAACGGTTTAGAGGAGCCAATGCATTCCTTTATTTCGACAAACCCGTAGAGACACAGAGAGTGTGCTGAGAAATCAGTCTTCCCTGTATTCTCCAGGCATAATTTGTTAGACATGGCCTGCATAGATCTTGTAGTAGCCAAACCAAATGTAATAAACAGCCCATCACATTGTTTTCCAAGTGATATGGTCTTCATTTGTGTGTGGCTCCAGTTTGACCGGAAGTGAAAAAGTATACCTGAGTGAGGCTGTAAACGCATCCAGACTCCTGTTAACTACAAGAACTCTCTGTGTGTTCTTTTCTGTTTGTTTGTTTTTTTCCCCCAGAGACGGACGGATGCTGTTTGACTACTTGGCTGAAAAGCACAACGTAAGTTGGCCCCGATTCACTGACATCTCACTCCCCGGGTGTGTTTCCCATGCCTCCTGTGTGAACCCATGGCTGTTTCGGGGGCAAAGTGGGAGGGGATGGGCCAAGTATGGAAAAGCAGAGCTACTTCCCAAAACCCTTAACTCATTTTCGGGGTTTGTATGGCTTGCACAAATTCTGCGGACATTTACATTCTGTGGTGAATTGTTAAGAATAAACGGAATAGCTCGGGACTCGTGGATAGAGCCGCAAGAATGCTAGAGGTTCTATATTTACCATGATGTTTGGCTTTTTGTCCTCCCCTTCGTTGGTCCCCTTCCACTCCAGCATCCAGCTGACCCGCACACTGTCCTCAGTGTATGACTATGACAGAATTATTTGACTTTGTCGAGTCTGAAATTTGAAAAAGAAAAGGCATTTTTAAGATCAGCTTCAGGTGTTAAGGGCAGACCACTCAAAACCTGTGGCACCACTGCCTCACACCGTTTCAAAAGCATGATATATTCTCAGCCGGTCAGACAGCGGTTCATTTGTTTTCTTGGGCGTTAAAAATTGTCAAATTTCTCTCTTAAAGTTTCGACAGGAATATCTGGACACGCTCTACCGATATGCCAAGTTCCAGTACGAGTGTGGAAACTACTCGGGTGCTGCAGAATACCTCTACTTCTTCCGCGTCCTGGTAAGCGTTTCCTGTTTCGCCCCACACATTCAGCATGGTCATGTAAGTGTCAGCTCTATGGAGCATTTACAGTTCTACTCCCACATACACACATGATAAACACACTTTTTTTTTTCAATTTCAGATTACGAGTAAAACCTTTGTCATTCATTGTTTTGTTTGGATTTTTCTGTAACTGGCACTGTCTTAAAATTCTACATGTGGGGTTAAAAAAAACTTAAGCAGAGATTATTCACAAAGTGGTTCTTAAAGTTCCAAAATGCCTTTTAGCCGAATAGAGATGGTGGTCGTTAATAACTGCAGCTGAGAGCTTTTTTTCCCTGCTAACTGGAGACGGGTTCATTGAACTGAGCAGCATAAAGTCGAATTCTGAAGCTCTGCAACTCCCATCTGCATTACTTCAATCTGTTTGGCAAACCACCCGATTGCCTTCTTCCAGTCTTGGATTTAAGTAGATCCAATCCGTCATTCTGGGTTAAAAAAGGAAATGAATATATACGGACAGATATTATCCTTGAATCTGCAGTATTCATGTTTCCCATGCGCCGGGGGCTTCAGAAACGTCAGTGACGCTGTCCATGAGCCGGCAGCCCGCTGTCTAACTCCCAAATCGACACCATCAGGCCCGACTGAGCTTTTTAGCTAAACAACGGAAAACTTCATGATGGGATCAGAAAACCTGTGAGAGATTTAACCGGTAACGCTTTGGTGAGGATGGGTTTGTGAGGCCCACAAGGCTGGAGCAGCTGTGTGGCGCGTGGCCATCGTCACAAAGAAAGGCTGTCTCCAAAGAAATGATGGACTTTTCTAGAACTGTCAGAGCAGTTCTGGCATGTGTTCAAATATCCATTCAGTGTTCACCCCGAATTTCCTCATACGGCCTCTAAAATCATCAAAATTGAAGCTGCAGATGGACCCTCTGACAGATAAAGTCAAGTCTAAGTCTGTACTGAGTGCACTGATCATAATGCCGATACCTTGAGTAGTGTGAATCTCAGATCAGTCCAATAAACCCCGCTTATGTGCGTTGAAGATGAATGTTTTCTTTTTGTCAGAAACGGTTGAAAACCTTGCGTTGCTACGATATGCATGTCAAAAACATTGGACGTTAAAAACCGAACAGCACGTTCATCTTTGTGAGAGCGCTTTAATTCCACTATAAGCCAAATACTTGCACGCAAGCGGAAAAGAACTGTCGGAGGTAATTGAATGTGAAAAGCTTGCGTCACTGCCCATTCACTTCCCTTCATGTCCTCTGTAGAAGGAGACTTCTGCAGGACTTTTTTTTTTGGGGGGGGGATCTTTTACTGGGCCAAGTGATGAGCGTCTGCAGTCTTCTCACGAGCGGGCGGCACCAGACAGCGTATTGATTTTCGAACTGCGGCCAGAGTCCCTAGTCACGACTTCTGAGCTCTCCATTTAGTTATGCAAGGCATCTCCGACCCGGCATTAAGAGAGTTGCAGCAATTTGCAAGGTGTTTCTGAGAGGACGTGCTTCCGGTCGGGAGGCAAAGCGGAATACATTTAGATTATTAGCATGTGCGGCTCAGGCGAGATGAGCTGCTTAAGTCTGATTAAGTGGCGTTTGGGAAAACGCGTAAAAGTGGCTTGTGCCAGAGCGTGGACTGCGATCTTCTTGGCGCACCCTCAGTCCTCTGATTTCCTCTATAAACAAAGATGGGACCACCCGGCTCTGGCGTGTGCAGCTTCTCCCTCCTTTATCCTGAACATTTGTTGAATCGTTGTAGTAAGAGCACCTGCAGCTTGCAGAGGGACTCTGTCCTGCTAGTGGTATACCAGCGTGTTCCCCTCCCAGTGTCCACCGAGCCATGCTACCTGCGGGTCTTTGAATGCGAGCAGCACGTGCATCTCCAGGCCGCAGTGCCCGGTATTCCTGTGCAGCCCGGTTACCAAGAAAAAGCCCTGTTCCAGAGGGGCTAGTTAGGCTGAGACTATTCCCAGATTTACTGGTATAACCAGCTCTGTTCGTAGCCTTTAGAATGAGAAATCAGATTTTAGACCTGGCCTAAAGATCTTTTTTTTTTGTACATTTCTGACAGTAAGTAGAGGTGAGGATTCTATAAGTGATCAGATTGTGAAGTTTAACTGATAAACGTTTGCTCGCTTTGGTGGTTTGAGGAAATGGTAGAGGCCATGAAATGACCTGTGAGGCTTTTTTTTCAATTTTCTTTTTTTGTGGCAATTATGATTTAAAATTTGCATTTGTGATGATCCCTGGGGCACAGTGTAATTAAATGGGTCTCAGTTGAATGAAATTGGGTGACGCGCCCGAGTACACCATCTTGGTGTTTGAAGGACTTAAAAGTATAAAATCTGCTAATTGTATTGTATTATATTCTGTATATTGTATTTTGTAAATATTCTCAATGTTGAAATTTGATTTAAGACAGAATAGCGTAAACTCAATCATAGGGTACTTTAAAGTGAAAGTGTTCAGTGACCTGTTTATTCGCCATGGGAATTGTATCCATGCGATCTGGTGTGGCGTCAGTTGTTTCCCTCTCTGGATCTGGCTTTAAGGCCTGAGTTTTGGGATTTCCATGAGCGGGGTGAAGTCTTTTTCTGACTCCAGTTATTTCTTCTCTTCCAGCAAAAATAGAGCCCTTTTATGACCCCTCTCAATGTTATCTCGCATCAAGTGTTAGTAAGTTCAGCTCAGCTTAAAGTTCTTTCACGACCAACGGGACCAGCCCACATAGTCGGCGGTTTCCAAGTGTCAATCACTTGTCCGCTGGCTTCGGTTCGACTTTGGTTCAGGATTCAGCTCCGTGGTGAAGTGAGAGCTCCTGCCAAAGCCAACACTGAGAGAACGGGCAACAATAACATCAACAGTTTTTCTATTTATGATAAAAAACAAATCAACTTCGAGATCTTTTGTTTTGCTTTTTCACCAACATTTGACACCGCGCTGCGTTGCCCTGGTCCCTCTGATGTCAGCGACTCCGGCTAATTATGTGCATTTCTGAAGTGTCCCATTCCGAAAGGCTTGGCAGCCGCAAAGAACAGTGATGAACTCTTTTCCCCTACAAGCAACCCTCTTAACCCAAACCATGTGAGTATAGGAGATGCATCCATGGTGACAAGTCATTTGTGCAAGGGAGAAAAAGGCATCAAAGAAAAATCTCCGTCGACCTTACAGGGAACAAGGGAGCATGTCTCGCTTTTCCAGCAACGGCCGTTTATGGCTTTGCGACTCATTCTAAAGAAACCAAAATTGCTCAGAGCTTCTCAAAGTTCAGCATAGACTCTAAAAAACAAAAAAAATACTTTTATTACTTAGATATGTAGGTCCCTCGTGTTGGGTTCAAGCCAGATCAGATTCTGTAACTAAAGCTGTTTTTGTTTTTTTGTTTAGTTTTTTTTGCTTGAGAGGCTTTTCACAAAAGGGGGGAAAAGGTAGAAATGGATTTCATTATTTGGAGTCTGTGGACCTCTCTCCCCCTCTTTTTCCCTTCAGAGTTTCTGCGGACCTCCCATCCTCACAAGCCCCTTGTCTGACTCTCCCTCCCCCTTATGGGAGAGGTGAGGCTCCATAAAGTCATTTAACGTGGGAAACCCAGTCAATTAAACGAAGGAAGCCAGCCTTGCAAAATCCATGCCTCAGGTCCTGTTACAGTGTGGCCGAGTCCGAAAAGAGCAACTTATTCATATCATCACCTAATGCAGGGATTGAATGTTAAGAATAAAGATAGAGTATCCCGACTGATCCCCAGCACAGTAAATTTATTGTTGCTGGTCAGTCAGCGAAAATGTGCCCACTCCACAAACCAGTGGAAACTTAAGGTAACTGCTGGAAAAACCCAGGTATTGAAACTTTTCTAGCGTAGCCACTAGTGAAAGCCAGACTGTGTGTGCGTGGAGAGAAAGCTGCCATAATGACCTGGAGGTCAGCCAAATGTAGCAGTCAGGGACTTCCAAAAGGGAGAGAGAGAGGAGGGGGGGGGGCAAAACAAAACACTTGAACAGACGACACGCCGACCTTTACAGCAACTCTGCAGCTAGTTCCATCTCCTGAGTTACAATGCCCATCTTTCTTTTGACTTCTGCACTCCCATCAGATCATTTGCTAAAATATCTGAGGTCTGACTGTATTTGGGGTTCTGTTTAGAGTTTTTATCTTATTATTTTTCACTCATTTAGCCTTCCTCACATCACTTAAGCTTAACTGAAGTCTGTGGCACCAGTGGAAACCGGCTCCTTCATAAAAAGTTTCCTTCACTCGAGCGTCACGCTCTCGCTGTCTGCGACGGCATCTGTGGTCAGAGGGTGTGTGTGGTCAGCATCTAGCTCTCTCTGGACGCTCAGCAGACGCCCACTCCGACTTCCTGCTTGACTCATGTCACTGCGCCTGGCATTTGGCGTTATCGCGAAAGAGTTTCATGAGAGTTTCCCATGAGCCACTGGGTGTAATCCAGCGTCCACTTCCGAGTGATTGCGCGGCCGAGGTTCAGGGGCGTTCTCAACCTGCCTTTCATTAGCCGATTCTTCTGTTTGTTTTTAAGGCCGCTCTGGCAATCAGAAACGGTAGCCTGCGACATGTTAGGGAATAATTATCCCCTCCCAAGAGGTGTCTTGTTACCATCGGGTCCTATTTCGGACTGGTTATCTGGTGATAGTGAAGGTTTTCCAAGTTCTAGTGGAGGGGAACGTTTTTAGGATCTGAAATTGTACAAAGTAGAGCTTCCAAAAAGGGACCAATACAACCAACCGCCATTCTTTCAACTGGATTCCAATGGGCCCCGTTTACTGCACACATTGTAGAAACGGTCAAACACAAAGTGAGCAAGTTCTGCTTTCACTCACTTTTCATTCAGATGAACTGCTCTGAAATTTGGGTTGAAAATCAGGCCTCTAAAATTGTCTGATGCTGTCCAGGCTGCAACTCTGCTCGGATGAAATGTTCTTTTTTTTTTTGGGTTTAACAACAGCACCTTCTGATGAAAACCCAGATATGGGTACACTAATAAGAAACAGCAACAATTAAATGCAGAATGTCTAACTTCTTTGACAGCCCATATGACAGCATCGAATAGCCCTCCAGTTGAGCTGTAACCATAGCTTTACTCGGCTGTGGATGTTAAGATGCTTGGGGATTAGAAATAAAGCCACTAAACAACAGTTACTGCACACATCGACACATTATTTCTGTCATTTCTACATGTGGTTAATAAAATTTTAACGTTTTTTTTTTTTCTCCCATCTGCTCCTAAGGTCCCGTCCACAGACAGGAATGCCCTCAACTCTCTGTGGGGCAAACTGGCCTCTGAGATCCTGATGCAGAACTGGGAGGCAGCCATGGAGGATCTCACCCGCCTGAGAGAGACTATTGATAACAACGTAAATGCCCCACTTCTCAGAATTTGATACCACATTTAGATTCCCTTACATAGACTCCCATATTGACATTTCAGCCCTGCTGTGGCATTTGATTTCTTACCACATGTACTCATCTGACTACTTAAGAACTTGGATCTGAGTGGAAAGGAGTTGTTGGTGTTTGATTGCCATTAAGAGGGCAAGCGCATGGGATTTTTCCCCTCTTGAACTTAACAAAAGAACAACACAGTTTTACATGTTTTTTTTCTTTCTTTTTTTTTACTTTCTTGTTGTCCACCCCCCCTTGTCCTCCCGCTTGACTGGATTTCTTATATGCTCCTTTCCAGTCTGTCAGCTCCCCTCTCCAGTCTCTCCAGCAGAGGACATGGCTCATTCACTGGTCTCTTTTTGTCTTCTTCAACCACCCCAAAGGCAGAGACAATATTATCGAGCTCTTTTTGTATCAGCCACAGTAAGTACATTGACTTTTTGTTGTGTTGTTTTTTGTGTATTAATCTCTTGAAGGATGTGAGTCTATTGTACTCGCAGAAAACTACAAACCGTTGTGAGAATGTGCTACCTCGGTCCTTGTTGTTGTGGTTAAAGTGGCTCCTGTTTTATCATTTAAACGGGCGGGGTTTGGCTTTGTGAAAACGGGGCCACGTGGAAAACAATTGTTCCTCTTTTACGGCATCCAGTTAATTTAGAGTAAACTATTTGCTTTAGGACGCTTTTGGGTGGTGGGCTTGAGCACGAACCCCGCTGGTATTTCTGAAGTGGTTTCAGAAGTGTGTGTTTTTTTGTGTGGTCTGTTTACCCTCCAACTCCAGAGCCGGGCCATGTGTATCGCAGATCGGAAACTTTATACTCTGTGTTAAAATTTGCACACCGCCTATTTTGATGTCCTAGCTCCCGCCCCCTCTTCTGATTGCAGGCCTGTATAATTGTACAGATGATTGGGCTCCACCGACAGTATGACGGGAGACCACAACACAGCACACTCAGATGTCGGGTTCCCTGAATTTTACTCAGTTTTTAATTTTATTGTGGATGATTAAGGAGGCCTGCCCAATAATTACTCATGAAAAGCTCACCCAACCATCTGTTTGGACAAACTGAGGTAGTTTTGTGTGCTTTGCATTTTCACAGTGTAGAAACCTCATGTTTTCCCTGCTGAGGCTTGGCTTGGCTCTTGTTTCCCCATCTCTTGACCAGCACTTCCTTTGGCTGAAGTTGGTGACCAGTGGCTGGCCTTCAGCTCCACATCTGACCTCCCTTACCCCTGCAGTCAGCAGATGTTCTTCCAAAGCCTCGCTTGTATACTATTGGCAGACTGCATGAGAAAAAGATGTTTGGTAGAAGAGAAAAACGCAGGTGAAGAGTGGGCAAACACCACTGCAGTGGTCCACACAGGGGGACTCATTGTGGAAGTCACTAGTTCAGCTGTTTGACATGACTTTCTGATGATTAAAAAAAAAAGTTGTGAAATGGGAGCACTTGGTCCTTCCTCGTCGTTCCGGCCCAGAATGCCCCAGAAGCATCGGGCCTACAAATCTGTCATTCCCAGTGTGGGCCGAGGTGAACGCCCCAACAAATGCACAGCGCTGCGACTTCTGCCAGATTGCTGGTTATTGGAGTCCCCGGGAGAGCGAGTAGGTGTGAGTTAATCAGCAACACAGCATGAAGCGTTGCGGTCCCCCGCAGGAGTCACACAACTACAAAGAGAGGGAGGCAGCTCCTCTAAAAGCAGACCAACGGCTCATTCTGCCAAGCAGTCCGCTGCTGTTTTTAGACCCGACATCAGAGCTGCCACAAGACCCCCGTCCCTTTAATTGGTTCGGCTAATTAAACCGTTGTCAGCGCCGTTTCCCTGAGCAACACGTGCTCCTCCGGCCATGAGACCTGAAGGGGCCCGCTCTGCTTCCTCCTCTCAGATTTGATGTGGTCTGCGAGGGATTGTGTTCAGAGATGGGTGTTCAGAGAGCGGCTTCTGCAAGAGACAGGTAGCGTCCACTCGTGGCCGTTTTTGACGGGGGAAATGGCGTTTGTTTTCGGAACGCTGTCCCCAGAGCTGGTGTGGGATTAGAATTAGCCTGTTACGGCTTTTGTCTCTTTTTTTCAGCCCCTTTGCAAGTTGACCTGTGGTTAGAGCATCAGTCCCTCATGGATTGAGTTTCAGTTACTGGGCAGGTCCCTGCTCACTGATCTGTATCTTCTTGCAGGGTTTCCTCTTCCTCCTCCCCCCCCCCTTCTCATCGGCCTCTAATGAAAGAGACAGCTTAAAGCTGGAGCTTTTTTGTGTTGAAACGAAGGGACATTCATCTGTTTGGCCGCAAAGCCTCTTTCTCCATCTGAAATGCCAGGGGTCCGGGCATCCAGAATGCCACGATATGAGGCTTTGCAAAGTTCCCGCTCTTATAAGACATTAACTTTATCCTCTCTGTTTCCAGATACCTCAACGCTATCCAGACTATGTGTCCCCACATCTTGCGTTACCTAACCACTGCCGTCATTACCAACAAGGACGTCCGTAAGCGCCGTCAAGTCCTGAAGGATCTGGTGAAGGTCATACAGCAGGTAAAAATAAAAAAAAGTTTTAGAAAGTCCACGCTTTTATTAAGCTTCAAAAGATGAGTAAGTGGTCAGCACTTCCTCCAAAGCACAAATAAACGAGGGAATGTTAGAGTTTTGGCCCAGCCAGAGAAGTTCTCTCGCATTCTTTTCAATAAATGGCAGCAAGCTGGCTTTTCTACACCCGTATCTTCTCCACCAGTGACAGTAGCCGCTTCAGAGATCTAAGCGTCATCTTGGTGGGTTTCTGGTAATTACTAAAAGATGTGCTCAGCGCTCTCCTCTCTGTAGCCTCTGGTCAGGTTTGGAGTCGTTTTCTCTAAGTATGATTCAGAACTGTTTTGGAGTCCGGAAAATGTTTTCACTCAAGCCCCTCGAATATGTTTATTCAGCTATTGTGCCCAGCTGGTGGTCATTTTGCCTACGCAGTTATTGTCAGCAATTGGGCCAGAAGTTGGATTTGTGTTCCTGTGTGTGTGTTGGTTTTCTCTTTTTTGCCAAATGTTCAGATGCAGGTTTGCTACACTGAACTGGTTTCCGTGTCTTTTAACATAGAAAATCACTGACTTTACCAAAAGAAATGTGACCCCTTGACTGCAGGTTTTTAATGAATTGTTGGTTTATTGAATTTCCTCAGGAGTCCTACACATACAAAGACCCCATCACAGAGTTCGTGGAGTGCCTGTATGTGAACTTTGACTTTGACAGCGCCCAGAAGAAACTCAGGGAGTGCGAGTCGGTGAGTAAGCGCCTCAGCCGTGTCTGTGACATTCTGAAAGTCCTCCGAGGAGATCGGATTTCTGGGTCATGCTTCTGATCTTTCACACAGGCCATTGTAATAAACATGGTTGAGAGTCACGCGACCTGCGTGACCCACTGCCCGTTGCACTGCACAGTTCCAGTAAAAGGCAGAGCAGTAATAGACTGTTCCTTGTATCGCCCTGTCGGACACAGAAGGTCTCTCCGGGTGCCATATGAGTCAGGCCTCAGTCAGATTTTACTATGGCCTGTAATTGACCCATCAGGCTAGATGTTAACAGTAAAGGCTTTCTAAGCAAAAAGTCTCCGCAGAGGCGCGCAGACACTTGTTTCAAGTAGATCTGTCATAGAATCTCTATTTCCAGTGTTTACTTCAGTTTTGGTTTGTAAAGGGCAAATCTAATTATGATCCAGGAGGTAAAATTAGAGCAGCAGCAGTACAAAATGAAGGTTCTGTTATGTTTGCGGACAACAAAATCTGAACAAAGCGGGAACAGAGCAGCATCAGGGGGGGGTTACACAGCTGTGTGGAGGGGCAAACGGGTCTAGCCTTAGCAGCTACAACGGCTCATAACAAACCAAGGGGTCAGACATGGAGGTAGAAATAAATCAGTCTGTTCCCTCAGTCTCTAAACAGCTGTTTAGTTGCTTTGTTGCTTTACATGGAACATCCATCCATTGGTTTTCTTACTTTTCTCTGAGATTGGCTCACATAGAGGCAGCAGGTCCAGAAGGGAAGCCCAGACATGCAACACTTTGCAGCTCTGTTTGGGGGATCCCAAGGCCAACTGGACATATAATCAGATTCCCCAACAGTTCCTCTCCAGGCCTCCCCTCCTCAGCTTGTTCCTCCCAACTAAACCCATTTCAGCTGCCTGTACCCACAGCCTCATCTTTTTGGTTCCTATCCTGAATTCATCACAGTGGGATCCTTTTTGTTGTCTTCTGATTTTTACCCCCATATATTTATACGCAATACATTTTTTCCGACATTCGGATTAGATTTGTTTTCATACATTTGAGTCATTCCTGTGGATTTTATCAGGATACAAAGTCTTGACAACTTGATTTGCGCTTGCACATATAATTTCAGATTTAATCGAGTTAATACTAAGTTCTTAAGAATAAGTCTTTCCCTATGCTTCACATGGGGAAAGAGCGGGTTTCAAAGCAGTGCCATATTTACATTTGTGTAACTTGTGTTTGCTTGTCACTTGGCTCTCCCAGATTAGTTGATCATTTGGAGTGGCAGAGGAATAAAAAGCCAATTTTGGGGTTATTTGGTTTGCTTTCCCCCCCCTTTTTCCCCTCAGCCTTATCAAATGGCTGTTTTTTTAAGACTTTGTTACACCCCCTAAAGGAGCAAAAAAGGAAATCCTTGGCATGTTCCAGAATTAAATAGTATTTGTTTTTTTGGGGTTTTTTTCCCCCTCTGCAAACCCCAAGTCATTTCTAATCCACACAATTAGACCAGTATCCTTTTTCTGCTGAGAAGTGACCCCCCCATGCAGTTCTTTCTGCACAGGCTTAAAGGGACTCGGGTCAGAACCTGCGTTTTTCCAGGTGCTCACTGGCCCACCGGTCGGTCATAGACTACTACTCCTGTCTTCACCAGAACCCCTTGGTTTTTAACCCTTATCCAGATCATAAGCGGGTCACACCACGCGGGGGCCTCCACCTGTGCATCACCTGGGATGACTTGACCTTAAACTTTAAACTTCCCCGAATATGTTTCTGTCTGAAGCTTGTCCACCTGCAGATGTTTTTGCACAGGGCTTTAAAGAAAGAAAGAAGAAGAAAAGGTGAAAAGGGGAGGTTTCATAGACCAGGGAGCGATTAGGATTAAAAGATACACAAATGGGATGGGCTCTCATCCCGATGAGCATTTGTAATGCATCAGTTGTGAGTCATGGAGAGGAGTGGCATCTGGTGTTGCCGTAATAGCGAGCTATGGGCTTCATTTGCAGCTCTCCTGTCCTCGCTTTATAAAATGCTGTGAAATATCGGAGCCGAATGCCTTCAAATGGGGAGTTTAGCCGGGTTAAAATGCTTTTGTTCAGCCCGAGCAGGTTTTTTTTCATGTCCCTTCTCCACTTTATCCATGACTAGAATCACTGTCAGATGTGCGATGCATGCCTGTGAAAGAATGAAAAGTATAGGCCTACCTATAGCAAGGCCCTCAGATTGCACATAAAAGAGCTCCTCGGCTCCCTTTCAGAATTTGTTTAAGCTTTGTGGTTTTAAATCCCACATGACAATAATTAGAGCAGTTTGCCGTTCAAAGTTTATCAGCCTTAGATAAGCTGCAGCATTGGTAGTTTAAATTTCCTCAAGCAGAACTCTGGAGTAAATGGCGGCTTTTTGAGCTAAAGCAAACAAAGGCCGGGTCATTCTTCAAGAAGATGGAGGCCTGCGATGTGAAGTGGCTCTCACCGGAGAGTCGGAATGCCGCTGAGCAGTGGGAAACACAGCGGCACCTCTGGGGCCATAGCCGGGTCACGAACGCGTACCGTTAATGAAGCACGCCAGTTGAATGCGCAACCCTTATAACAGCTCTCTGTCTCTCAGGTTCTGGTGAATGATTTCTTCCTGGTGGCTTGTCTGGAGGACTTCATCGAAAACGCCCGGCTCTTCATCTTTGAGACGTTCTGCAGAATTCACCAGTGCATCAGTATCGGGTTAGTGCTGCCCCCCCTTTCGTGTCATAAATGCTTCCAGGTCTCCTCTTTTCCAGGTTTAAAAAAAAAAAAAAAAATTTAAGACCACCTGTCCGAGGCCAGTCGGCAGACTGTTTTCCTCCAGCGGGGAAGTCAAGGTTTAGGCGGCTCCAGACGCTCGCAGCTGCTCCAGCGCACAGAGCAATTCCTGCTCGCCTTTGTGGGGTAAATAAAGGCCAAACGGTTGGGCAGGTCTCAACCCAGCGCAGGCTCCAAACACAGTTCAGCGACAGTGGAACCCAATTGACCCTTGGATGCTTCCCCAAAACCAAGAAATTGAGTTAATGCTTATTATAGCATTAGCGGAGAGGAATGATTATTTAAAAAGATTATTTTAATTGTGTGCAATTAAGACAGATTATAGGATTTGGCTGACTCCTTACACCCATTTGAGAGAGTGACAAAGATAGAGACAGAGTTCTCCCCCCTCGGCTGTCAATCCTCATCTCTGTAAGAGCACCTAGTCTCTCCTGTAGTTGTCGCGTTGATCCGCTTCGTCGCCGTGCGAATGGTGTGCAAACGCTAAAAGCTTTCGAAGAAGTCTCGAGCAGACGGAGGAGAATTGGTTGCGTCTGTTGACACAAAAAGCGATTGTCTGTTGCACAGCCCTACGGAGGTCTGTAGTCAAGGTTGAAGCGTGGAACGCGATCGGGCCCTGTCAGAATCTCTAGTTGCAGATTGTCTGGAATTGATTAGCAGTCCTGGTTCGCTTTTGGCAGACCGGCTGCAATTGGATCCATTTTCTTGTTAAGGACCACAAAGGTTAGTGGTAACACTGAAAGAGGAAGTTGAATGGTGATTTTTTTTTTTCCTTTTTTTTTTTTGTGTGCATGTGAGTGTGTGTCCTTCGCTCTCCGTTTGTTGAGGTTTGTGAGGCAGGAACGCGGATCAGAAGCACATTCAGGGATTTCTGGGTTTATTTTGGTGGCTGTTATGACGATGGCGACCCGACGCGTCTATTTCTGTGACACCCAAATTCCGAGTCGTTAGCCCTCGTACCCAGAAGCCCGGTGCACCCAAGCGCTTGATTCATATGGAACTGATGGCCAGCTCTAATGAGGACATTTTTTACAGCCGTTGGCTGTGACGGTTTCACAGATCCTTAACTCACCGTTTGCCCGCAGCTCGGGACCAAAAAAAGAATTAGCTGAGAAGTTGGCGTTGCTCAGTTATTTAATGCAATAAAGGCTTATGTGAAAAGTACTGTAGGCAGAGAAATTGTGATTCAGCCTGTAATTGCCTACACACACACACACACACACACACACACACACACACATCACTTTGTCTAGACTTTTCCGTGTCCAACGCCTGTGTTTCCAATGTCGCTTTGTTTTCCCAGCCTCATTTTTATTTTTTCAAACGCTGGAGCGGTTAGACCCCGCTTTGACCTCAAATGCTCATTCGTCCTTTGACGTTTTGGTCCCCCCCCCCTTTTATTTGTACACAGCAGCCCACTAGTAGTTGGAAGCTGTGTGTTGTGTATTTGGACGCAACACTGGAGATATTTCCACCTCAATTGAGTCATTAAAAATACCACACCATCATTTTGGTTCTTCCAAAAAAGAATCTCTTTTACCCCAAAAGCCCGGCTGCTCCGAAAGGAGTCCACCCCCCCACATACACACACACACACACACACACACACACACACACACACACCCTTCCCCAAACACTATCATATGTTGCTGCTTAACAATGCATTCATTTTAGGCCAGCTATGCTAAGACATAGCTGCCCCCATCCGCCCCCTCTCCCCTAACAAAGTTGAGACCCCAAATGCTGACCCCTCTCTTCCAAGTGTGAGGTTGGTATTGAGACTCGCAGGAGTCCCCCAGCCTGAAGTCGAAAAGCTCAGGAGCCAAAGAGAGCCAGGGGTCGAAATGAAAGCGATCGCGGTCCTCCAGGGAGACGGGATCATGGTTGTGTAAAATAAAACCAATCATGTAGGCTGTCTGCTTGACTCGAGAGCCAAAAGATGTCAATAGCGTAAGTTAAGTCTGACTCAATCCTGGTCCACTCTCACATCTTCCACCTTTTCTTTTCTTATGTGGTTGTCTAAACAGGGGCTGATGGCTAGAGAAGTCTTACAAGGACAATAAGTATCCCTGATCCTGTATACAAATGTGCTTCCTGGGAGGAAACCATAGCTAGACTTCATTTTCTAAATTAGATTAGAGGAGTCAGCCTGGTACAGGCCAAGGCCCTGGGCCTTTTCGGGCGTCCTGTGATCCTGTATTATGCAGCAGCGATCATGTTGACAGGGGTTAGAGGTTAGCTTGAGTCCCCGGTGAGGAAACCAGACCATGTTTGTTTTGATCTCCACTTCTGACCTGGACTTGACTGGCGTGTGCACCCGCTTTCCCGAATTGTCAAACAAACACCCCGAGTGCCCCAGCACAGCAGCTGCTTAATTGATTCGATCAAACCGGAACCAATAGCTCAAACCGGAGAAGGCCGTTGGCTGCAAACGCCGGGCGCTACAAAATTTTGATGTTTCAGACAGTAGCCCACATTCTGCCTTTTCTTCTTTTTTTCCCCCTTTTTAATAAAAGTGTATATTCATGTAACCATCAAAATCAGACGCAGAACATAGACGCATTGATTCACCGGCTTTAAATGAACAATATTCGAACCCGGGGGGCTGAAATAGTTGCCGCTGGGATCCTCGACCACAGCCTGAATTAGCATCATAGACAGCCAGCACCATTCCCAACATGTCAGGCTCCCAATTATGATACATAGGTGCAATTTTCCTGTCACGCATCATTTTCCACAGGTTTGATGAGCTGAGGTGCAATCAGCTTTTCCGAAAGAGCTAACGTAACACAGTTAGCTGGCCCGCGCGGCAGGTTCATCAGTCTCCCCGCGTCTTTTTCCATCGTCTCTGGCCGCTCAGATGGTCATCAATCTCCTCCCAGCCGGTGCTTTTCGAACTTGTTATCCACCTTCTCCGTCACGTCGCTGTGGTGGGAGTGTTGAGATGTGCTCCGTCAGCCGGAGACCGAGCCTTATTTTCCTCATTATGCTGAGGTAATGCCGCGTATTTGTTGTTGATTAGTTTTCGTGCCTCCTCCAGGCGATGGCGTCATTCCGCTCGCCCCCTTCATGTGGTTTTGCCACCATTTGACCAACATTCATGGGTTAGAAACTGGTAGTCCTTTTCTTCTCTCCCTCTCTTTTTTGTTTTTTGTCTTTTTCAGCCTTGAGGTAAGTCAGGGGTATAGTAAATCCCAAATAAGATTACTTCCCACTGAAAGAATGTCTCGAATAAGTCCCTCAGAGCGACAGCTGAGATCTGCATCGGTGGAGGGGCTGGGAGAGGACTCAGGCTCGCGCAGAGGAAAACTCTCGCAAAGTGTGATTAATGGACCAGGAAGTGAAAATTAGTGGAGTAAATTGTTTTTATATTGGCCTCATAACCCCTATTATTTTCTGAAAAGGCGCACAAAGCAGACGCAAAAGGAACAAACATGTAGCTACAGAATGTGTAAAGGTTTTGTGTGTGTGGGGGGGGGGGCTGTGGAAATGAATTGTGAGTGGTTGAGGGGTATTTATTGGGTCCCTTATATGAAAAGTGGTGGGCGTGGAGGGTGGTGGGGGTCAGACCAGGAGGAAAAGGGGCAGGAAGCGTTGGGGGAAGGGGGTTTAGATGGGGGTATCAAGGGGGTCTAGTTATTTCGAAAACCACAACGGAGGCCAGCTGCAATAGGGAGAGCGTTGGATCAAAGAGTGCCAGCTACCCCAACCCCCTGCCCCCCCCCCTTCCTCCTGCTGTGACACATCTACATCTTGCTGTATCAAAGAGCAGACCAGCATCCAACCTGGCTTTTATTTCAGGGGGACAGTCGCCGCTTAGAGAAGTGAGTCACGATGAGTTTCTGCAGACAGGTGGAGAACGCCCCAAAAAACCCAAAACCAACCAAACCTCACAACATGGGGTCGTCCTTTTATTTCTAATTGAGTCATTTGTGCAGCTCTGTAAATCAAGCGGCCATTAGCAGAGGGCCATTAGAAGTGTTATTTGGATGTGCTCGGCGTTAGAAGCTCTGCCTGAAGCGCAGGTCATTTATTAACTTTGTCAAATGGAAAACGCTAACTATTTACTTGGCTCCCAGCGCGCGGCATCCATCATTATGAAGAGCGGGGATTAACCGAGGAGCTGTCTGGGACTGGAGCGTATTCCGTGCATGAATCAGTGGAGCCCAGGAAACGTTCGTTCAGCCCAATTCATTATTTTGCGAAGGGTTTAATCTTACCTGGGGATTTGTAGCGACTGCAGAGAATGTGTAATTTTCCAAAGGCTCCTGCAGATTCCCTGCATATTTTGGCGAGGAACCAGGGCCTGTTGTGGTTGTGATTGCCGGTGCACTTTGTTTATTTTCAAAAAGCATAAGACTTTGTTTTTCTTAATCGTCAGCACACCCACCTGTCCCAGCAGAACCCATCACATGCCTGTTGCCGATTAGAAAAAAGTCGTTGCTCTTCTCCTAATGGGAAATATTTCTTTTTTTTTCCCCAAATACCTTAATCAGTCCACGTGACAGATTTTGAAGAATTTTACTCCCGACCGATCCAAATTGGAGCTCCTTGCCTTTGTTCCCTCAACAGCATGCTGGCAGACAAGCTGAACATGACTCCCGAGGAGGCTGAGAGATGGATCGTCAACCTCATCCGCAACGCCAGGCTGGACGCCAAGATCGACTCCAAACTGGTGAGACTTTCTGTCTTCTTCCGCAGTCAGGTTTCTCATGGCGTAGCTAACAAATCAGACCCCTTTTTCCTTTTTTTTTTTTTTTTCGTTGCGAACGTACCTTTTCCACATTCGGCCGCTGGTAGAACGTCTCCATCCAACACATCGCAGCCTCGTTGCATTTTCTTTGTGAGGCTCCCCACTGAACCTGCGTGTTTTGGCACACAGAAGGTCGCCTGTAATCAGCAAATCACAGCCCGGTCCTGCTCCACGATGTGGAATGATGTCGATATTTAAACCTGCTGTTCGTAGAGCGCCGTGTCTGCAAAAACCCGACCCGCTCCACCCGTTCTTATCCCTCTGTTCTCCATGTTTCCAGGGGCACGTCGTCATGGGAAACAACGCCGTCTCTCCTTACCAGCAGGTGATCGAGAAGACCAAGAGCCTCTCGTTCCGCAGCCAAATGCTGGCCATGAACATCGAGAAGAAGCAGGCGCACAACACCAGAAATGAGGTGAGTCCCGCTCGCCGCCACACGCCCGCCGCTGGGCACGAAGAGCTGGGGCCGGCGTGAGCTGGGGACCGCTCAAAAGCCCCTCAGAGCTCACGGCGACCAGGTTAAGAATGTTGATGAGCCACCATCAACAAGAGCTGCCTTTACACGGAATAAGCCAGTAAGAGCAGGTTTAACGGAGCCAATGCTTTCATCTCCCCATTGCTCTTCAAAGGCCTAATGACAAGGTAGATTCCACACGGCCATAAAAACGCAGGCCGAGCCCGGTGACTCAGCTCAGCAATGTAAATAAGGTGGACGCTCACACTTGCTCTCGGCGAGCTGGAGCTCCCTGCACTTAGAACCCGCGGCAGATGTCGGCCTCCCGGTCCAGTCATCCCACTTAAGGCCCTTTTTGATGTTGACCTCGTGCGTGTCGGGCGCTCGGGAACCAGAAACACCCCCCACGAGGAGCAGGAGCCACTGCTCAGCTGAGATTCGGCCGACATTTAAAAAAACTTTCACTTTTTAGCCGCAGCTGTGGGGATGTGCGCAGCTGCATTGTTCCAAACTGCCTCATTAAGGGCTTTTTTGTAATCACACAAAAGAGGCTGCAGACAACTGGCAGAGCACCACTACATCCTGCCGTCTGTCCTCAAGGCTCCGAATCGCCGGCCTATCGGCAGCAGTCGCTGCCTTCCACCTATGCCGGGTCTCCATCAGCTCTCGGAGCCGCCCAGCACTCCCCGGCTAGAACACACACATTCCCCCCGACGAGAAAAGCCGTCGGCGCTCTAACTGCTTGCACATGTGCTTAACTTTTTCACGTGGGATTGGAAAGGCTCTAATCGCAGGTTGTTGTTGTTTTTTTCTCTTTCACGCAGACACCCAGCTGGGCCGGCCAGGAATCTGGATTTTAGCTCCGCAGTGAAAGATGGAGCCTTTTATGGCGTGGCATCTTTTCTTTTTCCTTTTTTCTTTCTTTTTTTTCCACACTTGTCCGTCAAGGAGCACGGAGCTGTTATACACTTGGTTCGAGTCATCACCAGTTCAATAAAAGTGGCCAGCGAAACCATTTTCACCCATGATTGCCTTATTTCTGGACATGGCAAACGGCGGTTGAGGTTGGAGTGGTCAGACTTTTTGTATCGGTAATACTTGATGAAGTTTTAATGTGCACATTGAGTCACCGAGCGGGACAGCTCAGACGGCAGCGTGTGATGCGGCCCCGCGAGCAGCACAGTAATGATGAATGGCTGTTTAGTCTGTCGGTTTTATGGTGTTTTAGTGGTTCCCTTCACCGTGGCAGGCAGCCTCGCCGAGTGGGACGTCGGCTGGAGGGGGCAAACAGAGGTGATGTACAGTTACCCGTGGTCACACTCTCTGCCAGTCATCCTGCCCATCTGCGGACATAAGGGAGCCATAAAGAACCATTAGCCAGGCGGACACAATCTTTTTAATGTCCCATCCAGCCCCCGCTTTTCTCTGCTTTTAACCTTCTCATAACTCAGAGCTCCCGCTCGCCCTCCCTCCCTCCTCCCACTGCGACTCGCTCACAACAGGCTGCCGTTTCCTTTCGTATGCTTGTAATTTTCTTCCTGTGTGTCATTTAACAACTAAACAAGGTTGTTTTTATTTTAATATAATATCCACCTGCTTTGCTAGATTAAACCAAAGGTCTGGGAAGAGCAGGGCCCTGCATCGCCTCCGTGTGCGTCCCGCCCACAGGACCGGCCTTCGGAGCAGAGGGCTGACTTTGTTCCGTCCGAAGGAGAAGCAGGACAGACCGATAATTGGTGCTTTCCCTCTTTTATGTTTTTCCATAATGCGTCACAGACCTGCTCGGTTGATAAACAGAAGTGCGCAGTGGACAATAGAGGTGAAGTACAAGAAAACATGCTTTTTTCAGCCGTTTTTCCAAGTAAACAGTGCGTCCCAATTTATTTTTTCAGTTTTTTTTTTTTTCCTGAGTAGACCCGGTGACGTGATATTGTGACACTGTTTCCAGTAGGTGAGGTGGGGGGGGGGGGGGGGGTTGGAATGGGTAAATGTGAATTTAAAGGTCAGAGAAGAACTAATTAAGTTATTTTAACTCAAACTAACAGTTTATGATCGAAGACCTTAAGCCATACTTCATGTCTTTGTAATTTGCCTCCAAGAATGCAAGAATCTTTATAATTGGTTTAGTGCACGGGGCTTCCTGAAAGTGGGCTTTTCTCTGGATATTGACTGATTTCTCCTATTTTTAAGCCTTTGACGCATCATAGTGTTCGGATAAATGCTTGTGCGTGTTTAAACCTTTAAAACAGACATCTTAAATATTCAAACATTAAAAAATGAGTGTTTGGTACACAAATTGGACAAAAAAAAAGAAAAAAAACGCCTTAATCCGAGCAGTGCAGCACAGACCGAAACCAATGAGGTGACTCTGGCAGTGTGAGCATGGCGTGCAGTGTGTGGGTGTCCTTAATGAAAGTTAGGACAACGATCGGCTGAAGAAAAGGATTGCTTTTTCTTTGTTTCTTTATCCAAAAACTATTCCTCCAGCAGATCAACAGCTTCCGAAAGACATGACCGGATATGACGGATGCGACTGACCCCCTCATCTGTACTCAGAAACCATCAGAAATGGTCCTCATGGACGGGTGGATGTGAAGAACCGCCCTATTGACGAAGAGAAACCGGGAACAGAACACAGAGGAGCCTTGGGAAGCTCAGGGAATTAATCCTGAAGAAGACTTCAAGCTTGTTTTTAAAAAGGTCACATGACAGCAATATATGACAATAATACATGGTTTACCTAGGAGGGTAATACATATATATATTCCTATTCTCATAACTTTTTTAAAGGAAAATGAATGTTGAATTCTGGTGTGAGAAAAGCCCAATTAGGTACAAACCAGAGGACCTTCAAAGAAACCTGGCTATAAATGGAGGTCCAAGGAGGAAAGCAGCCATTCTTTTCACGGTAAAGAGAAAAAAAAACCATTGTAGCGTCCAGCCGAAAGACGAGCACCCCAAAGCAGGTAGACGTGTTATTATCCAAGTCTGCCATTAGGAGAAGATTTCACAAGAGCACATGCAGAGGGTTCACCACAAGGTGCAGAGCAGACGTAAACCTCAGAAATAGAACGGCGTTCCTCCACTGGGTTGTGAATCTGCATGAATTCAGCCAAATGTAGCCGTGTTAACTTGACAAGAATTCCCACCGCACGGAAATCCAAAGCTAACTTTTACACTCGCCCGGGATTAATTCAACTCCCACACGTTTGTCTGGATGGACAATAAACATCTGGAAGCAGCTGCAGCAAAGGCTGAGCGCGCCGTTACAAACGGGCTCTTGGTGACGGTCAAGGGTCCAGACAGACACACTTCTACAGTAAATATGTCCCCCCACAACAAAAAATCAAATCAAAAAGGGCAAAAATGTTCTACTTTTAAAGGAGCTGCAATTTTAGTAGCTTTATCCAAAAGTCTAATTTTGTATCAATGTGCCCAAATATTGCAATATTTGGATACTCATTTGTGAGTATCCCGTTGAGAAAAGGGATTTTCTAAACTTTTAAATCAGCAAATACTTTTTTTGACAGTTTTACCAGCCAGATCATATAAAATATTATGAATAACCTGACTGCTTCATTAGCATGCAGCTTCTGTTATGAGAAAAAAAGCAATGAATAAGATTTAGGATCCCATTGAAATAGATTCTGATTGAATCTACTGGTGCTAAAGTTATTTGTTTGTTTTTTTCCCCGTTTGATTCCGCAGTTGAACAAGACAGTCTCCCCTAAAGGTTGATCTAGATCAAATGTTAAATAAGTTCCCTTTTCATATGTTTTTAGTAAAATATGAAGAACTACCTCTCCCTCAAGGGAGAAGATAGTTTTGTCACCAATACTAGTAATATGAATGGCTTTTAATTGTCCACTGTGTGGCTCCCCTTCCCCCTCTTATTTATTTATTTCAATCTTATTTGTTTCTTTTTCTCTTCTAGGCAAGTGAAATGTGACAAACCCCCTCAGTGGGGAGCACAGCAGCTCCCCTCATCGCTGTTATGGCGCTGAGGGCTGGGAGCCAGACCATCCCGATGCTGACGTCACCCCCAC